GCTGTTTACCTAAGCATTAAAAATAAAGTATTCATAAGAAATTATCTAACAAAACCTCGTCTACCCACTAATCTACACTTGTGCCCATAGCCTTTATATTCTCAGCTGCTATAACAGAAAATTTATGCACCCCAAGCTAAAATCGACTCTTCCTGTGAACTAGCTCCCATCTCTTACCACCTGCTAAAGGAAACTGTTCAAGGATCTATATGTACAATCATACAAAGGTGTCCAAGGAATATCTTTAAGTGAAAACAAAAAAGCAGATTTCAGATCTTTATGAGCCAACAATTGGAAGAATACTCTAGGTAAAAGAAAAGTGAGCTTGTAGATGTCTTATCCTTAGTGTATTCACTTTTTTTTTGTTATTATTGTTAAATACAATTATTTGTTCATATATCTATTCACTCATTTATTCATTCATTTATACATTTATTGAGCATTTAGTCTGTGCCAGGAATTGTTCTAGCTCTGTGGATAAAGCAATGAAGAAAGTAGACAAAAAAATGCTTGCTTTCATGAGTTTTTTTAGCACAGGAACAGACAATAAACAACAAAAATAAATAAGATACACGGTATGTTAGATGGCAGTAAGTGCCGTGGGGAAATGCAGGGAAAGGAGATAAGACAGGTCAAGAAAGGAGGGTTGTAGTTTTTAAAAGGGTAACTAGGGAAAGTCTCTCTGTTAGAAAAAAATAAATTAAAATTGGAGAATTAATTCATTCATTTTTCATTCAATTAATATTTATTGAGCAACTAGTATGTGCCAAGGTACAGACACAAACTCAAAATAATTCAATATAAGTTGTTTCTAAACTTAGTTGTATTCATCTCAACTTATATTCACATTGATGCTGAAGCTTCCATTTTTACCATCTCTAAACAGAAAGTATTATAGTTATCATTAATTGAGCCCCTACTAAGTGTCAAGCAACACAATTACTTGACCCACCTTATCACATTGACTTCCCACAGGCGATTGGGAGGTAGGTATCACTTTCTCTATTTTACAAATGAGAAAGCAGTCTTGGAAATGTGATGGTGATCAGGCAAGGTTATGAAACCGTAAGTGGCAAAGCTAGGACTCAACAAGGAAACTGGCTTGGTAGCCTGAGCTCTTCCTACTATGCACATTGCTCCCTCGGTGATTACAAGCCTAGAGAACGCAGCCAGAGAAGGAGCCCCAGAGTTCTGACACTGAATAAAGATTCAGTGGGGCCACTCTGTGCTAACAAGGCTATTCTGGTAACACAGGCAGAGTAGGACCATGCCGGCATTGGTAACACTCTGAAGAAAGTAATGTTTACTTTTGAAATGTCTCCATCACCTTTCAGCAACACTCCCCACCCCCGCTTTGGCTTTTTTTCTTTCTTTGGTGTAACTAGAAGAGGAGACAAAAAGGGATAGTGAACTCCTATTGTGTCAGGCCCTAATTAGTACAGAAAAACGCCCAGTAAAATATTCTGAATCTATGAACAGCTTGAAGGCTTACTAAGCACCACTTAGAAGTTAGTGAAAATGTAATGCACTAAATCAGTGGTCTTCAAAATTTTTGTGTAATCTCTAAAATAATTTTGTAAAACTATTTATCCTCGTATATTTTTATAATGACATTCAAAATTTCTTTTCATCATACCTGTAAATAGTTGCAAAGGATTTAATTTCCAGTACATTACAAAAATTGGCATTTTAAAATATAACTTTTTATATCAGTCTTTTATAACTAACTCATATCCCTTTAAAAATATACTCTCAATAAGCTCGTATGTATTGCAAAATTTTAATTGTTCTGTTTTATCTTTAAATCTATTTCCATTCTATTTCTACCTCAGAATATTATCCTTTATATTTATGTCTGAAAATGTTTATTGATTAGCTTGTCATATTTCTCTGAAGCAAAAAAAATAGGTAGAAATTAAAATAATTTAAAAAATTTCTTGTGAACATGAGGCTCTTACTCTAAAAAACAATCTGAATTGAGTTATCATTACAATTAATAATAAAACAATAGAATTTATTGCAAAACAATGAATATTAAACACAAAATCTAAAATTTTATTATAAACACGTCTTAAGGATATCAGTGGGCTTTTTGTTCGCTTTTCAAGTGGTTTAGGTATCCATGGATACCTATTACTTCTTACTACAATGAGATAGGTTTCAGCATCAATTCTATTTTAATTTTTGTTTTCATAAGGACATTTACAGAGAAAACATGTTGACATAATGTGTAGATAGGAATATAACAGTTTTGTTACAGTTATGTCATTCACTTCTTTGAACTACAGCTGTATTAAAGTTTGTATGTGCTTTATCAGTTTTACAACCTTCCTTAGCTCCCTGTTTATGTATGTATGCATGCAAGTACACACACTTGCATATATGTATATGCTGTGTCACAGCCTCTACTTAACAAATGGCATTGTCCTAGAATGTCCTTAGTACCAAAATGGATGGTTTAACCTTTCATAAGTTACAGTTAAATGAAGAAGACCATATTATAACACCATATGACTTAACAGGAAAAAAGATAAGCTTGTATGTTAAATAACTGTTAGCATTCATGAGAATAATCCCTCTATCTTCTAAAAGAATACTGAAACAACTGTTATGATCCCTAAAGAAATTTTCCAGACATCAATTTCCATTGTATTTATAAGGAATATCATTGAAATATCCTCAAATAATATAACCATGATGTTATTTATATTATTATTAATCAAATATTTCTTTGTTGTATAAAAGTGTCCATGCTTCTATGGGGAGACAAAACATGAATTCAATTTACATCCTGTTTCAAACTCATAACCTGCTATTAAAGCATTTGACCTATGAAAACAAATTCCCTATTGGTGACATCAGCATCAGGCATGTGATGCTATAGGATTTGTAAAAAACATACCATTTTGGATCCAGAGTAATGTTTTAATTTTATTTGAGCCATGGTCCCAAGCTATATTCTGGTTCTATTTTCAGATCCATCAGTGACAATAATGTGACTTCATATTCCGGAAACTCCACTTGTGAGTGGTTCCACCATTTCAGACAAAGAGGAGGTATCTCTTCTTCCAGTGTGTATTGTGAGGCTTAATTAATGGGTGGGAAGCAATTGGTAAGTGCCAGATGAAAGGCACCATCGTGGCAAAGTGAGCATTGCACAATGTGTCATCTCAGCTGGCCTGGCTGATCAAATTGTCTGGTAATTGTCTCTTATTGTTGAGCTCCTCTGGAGAAACAAGGTCCTAAATGGGATTGGTCTTACCTAGAACAATGGTATATACCTGGAAATGTATCTCAGAGAGACTTGTTGGGCAAGAAATTACTTTTTAATCCCAACTCAGGTGATTTCACAAAGGTTTCTGATCATAACTAAGTGAGCTAAGTAATAACTGAGGCATTAAATTTATGCATAGTTTTCATTTTATGGCTTTACTTCCAGATGTGCTCATGATAGGGAGAGTAAATAGGGTTGATCTCTAGGGTCAGTTCTAACCAACTGGTTATGGTTGTCAAGAGGACAATGATGAAAAGGATTCTGAGGCGACAGCTAGGGTCTTCAGAAAAGAGGGTCATGGGAGGCGAGATTTGACTCTTATGGCAGTAAAAGCAGAGAGTTGTAGCACAAGTGCCTTGTAATTTCCATGCCTGGTATAGGCCATAATTCCTATGGTAAAGTCAGAAAGTGGTAATGATATTTATACACATATCTAGGAAAATCCCTAAGGGTATGGTACATTCAATCCTGCCAAGTCATGTTCAACTAAGTAGAGACATAAAATATTTTTTCAGTTGGATTTTTTGCTAGTAACTGGCTAATCTGAAAATAACCAATTGAATTCTATTAAGCCATTGCCCAGTAAGCAGTTGTGTGGTTAAATTTAACTTGCTTTTCTTCATACCAGTGCAGACACAGCTTAAATATCCTTTGAGTGAATATTTTTTAGGGGTTGGTTTAATTTCTAATCAAATTCTGAAGGGGCCTTTGGGCTTCAGAAAGTTTAAAACTATAGAATTACCTGGGGCCGATTAACTGGGCAGATTCCTTGCATTCAATTTGAAGTTCCTGACCCTTAGCTAAAGTTTCATTTTCTCTCTCAGCAGTGGAAACCTATCTCATTGTACAACAGAAACTAAGCACAAACCTCAGGCACACTGAGCTGAACAGACCTTGGCGCCAGTCCCCAAATATTGATGTGCAGAATGTCGCAGAAAGTGCAGCTTCACTCTTCTCCCTTTCATAAGCCATGAAAGGAAGTGAAGGAAGTATGCCAGGTTGCTATTCAACTCCAGTATTTTAATCAAGCATTGCTGGGCACTTCTGAAACTCTCCAGCTTCTAAATTGAGAGTGAGCAAAGAGAACACAGGATGGAAACGACTTAATTGAGAAGGCTTCCAGGACTATTCAGGATCACATGGCCATTTTCAGACAGGCCCCCATTACTCCCCAAACGCCTGAAAGTCAGCAAGAAACCCCATCTCAGTCCTGGTGATTATTTCTACTTAATGTTTCATAGCTTTCTCAAGGATCCCAGTACACATCAATTCATTTTGTCTTAAATGGGTTCTTCTATAAAAGCGATCTCAGTGCATGGCAGACAAGGCCCCTCACTACAAACCTGACTACATCTTCTCCATTCAGGTTTTAAGTACACAATAGGGCATCTTACCATGGGAAAGAAAGATCTGTTTATGAGTTAGGAGAGAACCTAGGGCTGGCACAGAGCCTCAGGTGCAGGGTACGACTCATTTTGTTTTCCTCACCTGCAAACGGGGAACTCAGTACGTGTCAGAAATTCCTGATGCACCAGGGGACCTTACCAAAGTCTTTGTCCTTTTTTTCACTTAGGGTAAGAAATGGATGCCCCTTGTTGCTCAACAGAACTAGCCTGCCCCAAGTCAAAACAACCAACCTATGAAAGCTGGAGGGTTGGGCTTTTTTTTAAGGGCTGAATGAGGCGATCTCTTCATGCTGACAGCTGAGAAGCAGGTTAGTCAGGTTCCTGGGCTCTCTATTACACAGGCAACATAGGCCAGCCCCGCCCAGTTTCGTTTCTCTGGCACCCTCCTGCTCAGTGGGACACCAGCACACTTAACCCATCTGCTTTCTCGAATGCACGGCAGACATCCAGCCAGGACAGCAGTGATATTTCAGTTCCTGGTTGAAAACACCTCTAGACTTGAAGGTAAGTGTGTGCTGGGTTACATAGGATCCCCCCTCTTCCACCTCTCTCTCTCTCTTTCATTTATCTACCAAAGAGAATGAAAGCAGGCTCAACTTTTGACAGAACAGTCTGGCAAGTAGCTATGGAGACCGATGTAAAGACAGGTAGTTGTTTCATTAAGTAACTACCTTCCAAATGAGCATTTGCACTGTTGAGTGACTTAACTTTAAGAATTACTGCCAAATTTGCTAGATGATGAAACCAGCTGAAGACCTCAATAAAAACCTTATTTAAAACGTACATGACTACGAGAGAGAGTTTCCTTAAGTCGGATCTTAGTAAAAGTTTCAAAATGTTTAAAGTGGAAATAGCAGCATGAATATAAATTGAATACTTAGATTTAAATTATGCACTTGTGCTTAAAGGTTCTTGCTAAAGTATTAGAATATAGTTTTTGAAAAAGAATTTTCTAATATGATGAATTACAAACTTCTATACATCTTTTCCAAACATTTTCTTAATCAAAAAATTCACAAATGTTATGTATATAATTATTTTGCTTAGCATGGTCTGTGCACGTGTTTAGCACTCACTGGAAATCTAAAAGGCTAAGTCAGCTGCTAGAGAAGACACCCCATGGAATGAAGATGTGGATAAAGTTTCTTAAAAGTATTTTCAGTTTGTGGCTATGTAAGGCTCCTTTTATCAAAGGGATGTCGATTTACTATTTACCCACTTTCTATTTGGTCCATAGACGCTGTTTCCACAGACAGTGAAATATGATAGAAGGCTGAAAATCCCATGCTTGGGAATTTGGGTCCAGAATATTTCTTTGGAGACACAGTCTCTATCTAAGCTTGACTCTTTTCCCACCTAATTATTTCAGTATTGAAGTTGATGACTGAGAACGCCCAAGTTAGCAGGGAATAGGACATTCGATATAATTTTCCTGGATTTAGGCATACCAGTCTTTTAATTAGAATGAGGTTCACAAACTTTTGAAATTTGTTTTTTTGTTGAAGGAAAGTCATATTTTTCTTTTCCTTTTCTTTTTCATTCTTTTTAAATCAAATAAAAGTAAAATGATATGCCTAAGGTCCTCAGGTACAATCCTACTCTTTGGCTAGTTAAGTCTTCTCACCTTTTCAAAACCCTCCTATAAAAGAGGCATTTCTAGAAGCATAATTCATTGCGTCCTAATTTACTGTGGCTCTTTCATTTAGGGGAAGCAAAATACTGTCCAAGATTGGAAAGGCCACTCAAAGTAACACTCAAGGTGTGCCTAGGATGTTGGCTACATGTCAGACTGAGTTTCCTGTGACAAAGACAAACAAAACCAATCTATCTTAATTTGTAGCCTGAGATCTACAACAAGAAATGATCAAAAGCAACTGAGAGAAGTAGCACAGTGTATACTCTTTATTTCACTGCAGAAACATGTTTTTATATTACCCTTTCAGTGTGCCTCAACTAATGTGTTTATTTAAAATTTCTGATTTTGACTGAGTTTAGAACGCCTAGCATTTCTCTTCCTTTGCATGGGTTGATTACCTGACACAGACCAGTACCTCCTTATTTTCAAAGCTTGGTATAAAATGGGTATGACTCAGTTACAATAGGAAGGCTGGGCAAAATAATGACTTTATGCATTTAAGGAGAAGTGAAATTATGCACAGGGAGCGTGGATTTGCTTCCTTAACGGTCATGGTTTTCTTTTTTTTTTTTTTTTTTTTCCGTCTCTCACCACCTTCTACAGCCCTCCAAACAAAAGTAGTAATGTGAAACCACTTTTTAGTGCCAACACCAAAGACAGGGCAGAAAACAGTGGTCATTTTCTCTGTGTAGAGGAATTATTTAAAAAGCAGTGAAACTCATACTCTGAAAGTATATTTTAAAAGCTGTTCAATCCTAGAAACAATAAAAACATTTCAGTATATATAGAAAGGTTTAGAATCTGTGTTTAAGGTATTACACAGTCGATGGTGATCCTGTTGTTTTTTTCTTTTCTAATCATCATCATCATCATCATCATCATCTTAGAAGTTCTTCAAGTTTGTAACGATCTTAGCTCTGTTCCTATGTTACACCCTCAAAGGTCCTCTTAGGAATTTCCACCTAGGGGCAAGAAGGGGAAAAGAACAGGAGGGGAAATGATGCTACCTGGGTCTCCTGATTTTTCTCTCCTACAATTTCACTTTCTTTCATCCTACCTTCTTTCTGCCTCCACGATGCATCTGGTTGAAAGATGAACTTGCACACAAGCATGCCATCCATCATCCGGCATAACTTCAGCTTTACATAACAAGTGTATAACACAGTTTAAATATTTGAACTCGAGAGGTAGAGGCTGAGAGGAAAGTGCAAAGAGAAAGAATACAGATTTCTTTTATAGCCCTCTGGAGCTTCTGTACCATCTCCATTAACCTTTGCTGCTTACAACATGTTTTGTTCAATCCAGAATAGGGTGAACTTAAAGAAAATTACCTAGCCCTTGCTCCAGCACAAGTCCAGGACTGGGGTTCTGGATAGCTGATGACTTCAATTCCTGGCTGCTTCTATCCCTTTAAGATGAAGGGATCTGAGTAAGAGGTGTAACCTGGTTCTCTTAGAAGCCAGGGAACAAGGAAAAGTTGTAGCCTTACCTGCAACTGTATTAATTTCAGAAGAAACTGCAAATAGCATTCACAACATACTGTCTTATCCGTCTCTTCCCTGGAGATAAATTATACGCAGTAACAGAATGCTTGGCTCATTTGGGGCGTTAATACCTTAGGTTTTCAAGTCACAATCAAAAGCTGAATGAAGGGTAGAGAGATCCCCTGGTGGTTCAGTGTTACAGGCGAAGTGAAACAGGAACAACAAAACTCATTTTGTTGACTCTTGGTATGTAGGTTCTCCTAGGAAGGCAGCGAAAGCTCAAGGCCATGCTCCTACTGTAACACTATGAGAAAAGTAGAGCAGCGAAGGGCTGATTTTCCCCTCTGGTGATGACTTCATTAGGAAGAGAAAATAACCAGAAAGCTTAAGTGTAGAGAAAGTAAATCAAACTGCATAATAATGATAAGAAGGGCCACGAAGCACAAGTCATCAACTAATCAGATCACTGGCAGTAGATGATGAAAAGGGCTATAACATTTGCTATGAACTTGACGGAGTTCACAGGAGAAAGATGTTTCTGATAAGGGACCTGTAAGTATTTTTAAACTAAACTGAATTGCATTGTAAATGTGCTAGGCGAGGCATCAGTTCAATGAAATGTTGGTGAACTACAGGTCCTGGGAATAATCACACATGTTTTGTTAATGTTAATCTGTAAACTATATGGTAAAGATGTCCATCTAGAAACCACAGAGACAATTGTTGGGGTTTTCTTAAATTAGGATACAAGTGTATTTAGTGTACTTGAGAGGTACTTAAGGTAGAAGGCCCTATTTTTCCAGTGCTTAAAAAAATGGGATGATAAACTGCTGTGGTTAAAATAATAAAATTTGGAGAAGCCATGCTATGAAAATGATGGTGGGAAAAGGTTCGAAAAGTAGGTGAGTACCAAATTTGATATTCCTTTGTAACTTTTGTTAGATAGACGAGTGATTACTAGCTTTAACGCCAAGGTGTGAATCCTAACGCCATCTCTCAGTCACGAGCTGTGTGTCTTTGGATGCATTATTTACACTTTTTACACCCCATTTAATCATCTGTAAAAAAGATTAATAATCCCTTCCTCATTGTTTGATAGTTTTTGGTAAGAGATAAAAGAGAAAATATGCAAAGCATCTGATATAATAAATGCATAATAGTAATATGTTTTCCAATTATGTTAACAATTTTCTAGGATCTAACTCAATTTTCTTGGTTATCACAGAAAAATGAATGAATGAAATATAAACAAACAGCATTATCACAAACGAAAATACCTACATAATCCCTACCAGGTCAAGAAACAGAGTGTCAGGCACACACAGCAGCTCGTCCACGCCCACCCAGTCAATGTTGTCTCCTTCCTTCCCGCAGCAACTGCATTCCTGACTTCTAACATTCTAGTTTTTTGCCTGTTTTTGAATTTTATATACATGGAGTCACATAGTACAACTGGAATTTTAAGCTCTGCATTACGTTTGTGATAATCACCCATGTTGTTGTATGCAGCTCTAGTTTGTGAATTTTCAGGTACGAATATTACACAATTTCTTATCCAGTCTATTACTGATGGATGCTTAGATTGGAGACACTCACACATAACGCCCCTAAGAATTTCCTGTGTGTCTGCCTGCCTTGCCGTTTAAGCAGACTTTTCTTAAGTGATAAGCAAATAGCATGGAAGATATTACACCTCTAAAACCTTAGGAATCCACAGGAATAGACTGCTTGCTAAAAGCTTTTGAAGAAAATTATATCAGGGTGTATTATACATATATTTAAGTTGTACACTATGAAAGAAATAATTAAGTAAGGAGGGGGGCACTTAAAACCAGAAGACAATCAGAGGGAGTATTTTGAGGCTCCTCAAACCCTAATGAAAAATAACCAAGACTGAAAATATTTGTAAAAATTTCTGGGAGAGCTTTTAGGAAACAGCAGGTCCTAAATAACAGCAGTTGCATCTCCTCCCTTTTCTTATCTCCATCATCCTGGAGGATTTTAGTGACAAATAAGCTCTAAGGCCCAATTCAAAGAATATGGAATCAGTTCTCAGACTTTATTGTTTGAGGAGGAACAGTCTAACATTTTTTTAAAGAATGTTTTTTTCCAATTAAAAATACTTTAAGTTTTAGCATCTAATTAGGTTATAGTCAGTAGACTTGGCTTTCAGTGCTGTCTCTTCCTTCTACTAGCTTCCATTACTAGACACTCTGAACCTCAGCTTCTCCATCTACAAGATGGGGATAATACAAGCTATTCTTGTCTCAAGGGACCATTGTGAGGATCAAGTGAGATGATATTGTAAACTTTGTAAACTTATGTAAGACACTTATAGAAATATTATTATATTTTAATAAGAAGAAATGGAAGTTAATGTCTATTAACTGCTTACTTTAGGCCAGATATTTTCAGAGTACTTATACCTAAATCATCTCATTTAGTCTTCAGAACACTGTGAAGTCAGAATATTATCATGATGATAAAGCAATTGCTTATTATGATGATTGTTTTTCATAGGTTATAACAGAAGCCAGAATTCTAATTTAAATCTAATTTCAAAATCTTTTCCCCACATCCTCCTATTTATGAATTGTGGCACTTCCACACGTAAGAGGTAGAATGATACGCCTGGATTGGACGTCAGGACCATGGTTTCAAACCCCAACTCTGCCACTCTCTAGCTAGGTCATCTTTTCCACACACACTCCCAACTAGATACTTCATTTATACAATAACGGAATACAATTAAAGAATATCTTAAAATCTAAAAGTCTTTTTTATTTTACCTAATTTGAGATTAACAGGAAGAAGGGCATCATGAAGTGAAAAGTATTGTGAAAAATAGGATGTTAATTTCAAATACAAATAACTCAAATTAGATACTAATAAAATGATTTCAGTTGAGTTCCTGACTGAAATCACTTTAAAGCAGCACATTTAGTGTATAATCAGTAACATCATTTTCATAATAAATATTCCAAATTACATCTTTATGAAGAACATGCTTTCTTAAATAGGTTGAAGAAATCAGACAGTTCTACATGCCCTATATTTACAATACATAGAAAATTTTATTTAGCAGTCCATATATAATTACATATATTTCAACTTGTCCCAAGCTAAATGATCTTTGAAATAGTGTAACAGTGGTGTCTGGCTTGACAAAGTTTTCACACGCATTTGCCTAGAGGAAGGAAGGAAGAGATAGTATATAAAAAATATAACGCAGTGACTTTAGTTTTAGTACATAATCCTAAGAAAATAAAATTATGGAATAAAGAGTATGGTATTATCATCTCAGTATTACGTCTCTAGAGTTTTATCACTTTAAAAATACGGATCCATTTAAAAAAACCTCAACAGTCCATTTAATAATTCAAATGGTTGTTACTTCCTTTCAGATTCCCCTTAATAGCATCAACACCAGAGAAGGCTACAATGTTGACCTCAGCCAAAATTCTGTTGATTTCAACTTTCTTTAGTTTACGACTATCTGGAAGCCATGGGCAAGAAGGTCTAGAAACAAACACAACACAAAGCATTGCAGAAGGCTTGAACAAAGTGGTAAATGAATCTGTTCCTTTTGGAACTGAAGCAAATTTAAACTCAGATAAAGAAAATAGAGAAACTGCCTATCCCAAGGCAAATAATTCTTCTCCTGTGGATCCATCAAATAAAATCCACAGAATAACACATTCCTTCAACAATTTATCAGCAGACAACTTTACTGGGAGTCCAAGACACACACCCATGTTCTCCATCAGCCCTCCCTTGATCCACAGCTTTGTTGCTAAATTGCCTTGGAACTCATCTATAGCAGATGAAAATCCTCTGCCAGTCTCAGCACCTCCCAATGCTACACGTGCCGTATCTTCAGAAAATTTCACTTGGTCTTCGGCCAATGACACCATGAAAACTCCTGACAGCAGTTCCATTACAGTTAGCATCCTCCCCCCAGCACCAAACACCAAGTCTGTGACCCAAATGACGATGGAACCAGATGAATGGCTCGCCCCAACCAGTGACAGCTCGGTGGGGTTTACTCCCTTTCAAGAAACAACAACTCTACAGCCCACCTTAAAATTCACCAATAATTCAAAAATCTTTCCAAATACATCAGACCCCCAAGAAGGTAAATATAAATGGATTTAACTTTCCTTTTGTGTGAAATTGAATCTTCAAGTAAGTCATATAGATGACATCTAAGGAACGTGCCATACTAGACAAAATGAGGAGACTGCAATAGCACAGGTAGTTCTACCTTTTCGGGGGCAACCATGATATTCACTGGAAATAGTGAAGGGATTTTAGGCCTTCAGACAGGAAATACTAGTTATTACTGTATGGGAACGTGATGAGATGGTGGGACATAATGAGAAAGGTTAGGTTGAAAAGAAACAGAGACTGAGGTAGTGGTACAGTTTTGAGACACTGGGTAACAATTTTACCTGAATCTTTGAAAGACTACTTGAAATTTCATGTGCTTTTAGGAATACTATACAACTAAACTTCAAAAATATATGTATGTGAGTTTTAAAAATTGAATGAAATAAATGAATTTATAAACTATCTGGTACCACATAGCAATCACAGGAAAACAGAACACTGATATTAAAAAATATGTAAATAAACTCAACAAAAGGAAATCCTCCTCAATTTTTAGTTTAGTACCTAATGAACACCATCAAAATGGAATTTAGCTGTGAGTGTCACAAGAAAATTCTATTATGGGGACATTTTTATGTTTCATTTAGGGATTACATAAAGCTTTAAAACAAAGTGGAAAAGATCTCTAATATTTAAAGAAAATTTATTATATTTTATTTTTTCAGGTCTAACCATGTTTTTGTTTCCCTGAAACTTAAAAAAAATACTTTTTTTCCCCATGAACTCATTGATTTCCGATAGAACTTACTTACACATTATATTAATGATGTAAACACCACATCATATATACAAATTCCTATTTGAAAGTTGTGGCTAGTGTACAGGAAAAGTTCTAAATTCTGAAATCTAGGCTTTATTATAGCACTGCAACCAATATATTGTATGTACATATATTTCCATTTCAGCTATAATTTCACTTTAATTTCAGCTATAATTTCAGCACATTCTTTCACTCACATATAATCTGATATTCCACCAGGAAGTTTTTTTTTTTAAATATTCTCTCTCTTTTGTTTCTCTAAACCCAATATACATATTGAGAATACTGAGTACTTACTCCTACCATTACTCTGTAATCAAAACAAACTTGGTTAATTTTACTTCACTTTTATTTTAGTAATAATTTTGCTATTAATCTTCCAATGTGAAGGTTAATTTTTTTTTATAAATGGGGTTTTATATAGAATTAAGACCCCTTGTCTACCTAATTAATAAGCTTATTAAACATTGAAAATAAAATACACTAAATATGAGTTGAGGGAGCATTAAGTAGTTTATCGATGATTTAGTCTTCAAACAAGGTACTTGGCAAAGGGGATGAAGGAGTGAAATTTTGGACTCCCTTAAACTCAGACCTACACGTCTGCTCTTGATGTGCAAGGCACTGCAAGCATCTTGCTTTGGTCTATTTGTTGTATTTGGAAATATCCTGCATCAGAATATACTGCTTTTTCCTTATAGCACATTTTCACTTGGGGTTTTGAGAATTCACTTTCTATTACCTACTTACTCCCATTAGCTTTTTACTTTTCAATTATTATAGAAACAAGCTCAAAGTTCATTTCATCATTAAAGTTCGTCAGAGATTCAGAGTTGATGAAAAACTTAATATAGCATTCAACATAGAAATTAGATCTTAATAAAGCATACACATGGCATTTCAATACTATTAGTGTTAATAAGTAGCAAGACAGTTATAAAACTAAAACTCAGAATTATTTCAAGGCAATTCAAAATTTGAAGTGTGGTTTTATCAGGAAGTATACTTGCCAATATATCCCAAATACTTAGTATAAAACGCACACACACACAACACACACACACTACATCACCACTACCTAATTTTTAAAAAAACATTGTTAAACATTCTTTGGTATACCGAAAGTCCATGTATATATTTCTGCTCTTTGAGTAACTATTTTCTATTTCTTATCTGTAAATTATTTTTTCTTCTCCAGAGAACAGAAATACAGGAGTAGTATTTGGAGCCATTTTAGGTGCTATTCTGGGTGCTTCATTGCTTAGTCTTGCTGGCTACTTGTTGTGTGGAAAAAAGAAAACAGATTCATTTTCCCATCGGCGACTTTATGACGACAGAAATGAACCAGGTAAAAACAACTTTCAGAACTTTATCCGCACACAGTGCTTTTAATTAAGTGAGGATGCTAATGGTCACTACATTATCTAGAAGGGTTTCAGAGATTCATGTGACAGAAACAGACTAAAGATTTAATATTCTCTGTTTCTCAAAGAACATAGCCAAAATAATTATGGACTTGGGAGCGAAATTTAAGAGCCATTTGGAACTGTTGCTAATTGCATCACAATTTGTTTAAATAATAATCTCAGAACCTAAAACATATCTATACAACTGGAAGATAATGGTATGATAATAAGAAAAAACATGGCCGGTTTTGTCAGCAAGTAACTGCAAAGCCATTCTTTTTTTTTTTTTTTTTTGGTGAGGAAGATCAGCCCTGAGCTAACATCCATGCCAATTCTCCTCTTTTTGCTGAGGAAGACTGGCCCTCGGCTAACATCTGTGCCCATCTTCCTCTACTTTATATGGGATGCCGCCACAGCATGGCCTGACAAGCGGTGCATTGGTGCGCACCCAGGATCTGAACCCGGGCTGCCAGCAGCGGAGCACGCACACTTAACCACTACGCCATGGGGCTGGCCCCTGCAAAGCCCTTCTATGTCATTGTTGGAACTCTTAGTAGCAATAATTTGAATAATGACTTATTCTAATTTGGAGCTCTTCTAAAGTTTACACGATGCAGTAGCCCTCTATTAATTATCCTAATGAGTCTCTAAAACAGAATCTCTAAAGAGTTGCATACATGGGCACATAAAGTCACAATATACCTTAATTCAGGAATGTTCTATTCATGTGATGGAAAAGACTAACCATATCTATGAATGAGAAACGTATCTGCTAAGAATAAAGCACTTAGTTTAATCTTAATTATACAATATTAATTAGAACACAAATGAAATAACTTCAAATGCTTGACTCATCTCTTTTTTTTTTTACTTCAGGAACAAAAAATCTGTTTTCTAGTCTACACAAGGGACTCCTGCCACCATAAAAAATAGTTAAATGCCCCTGGTAGATGCCATTGATAAAGTCTTGTTGATTTTTGATAAGTTCAGATCTTGATTGACATATTGTTCATTTTCAGAACCAAATCCATTAATTTTAAATTTAACTGAATTCTGTTTATGGGTTTCTAGCAATCCATATAAATAAAAAGTGGCACTTTTCAAAATTAAAGGATAGGATTTTGAACAACAGGGGTTTCCAAACTTTTTTTAACTTCAGAATCTTTTCTTTATCTGTCATCACATGCAAAGGCTCAGGCTATCAAATTGATACAATCTGAGATGTTGTGTTTGAGGCATAAGAGAATAACTCAATCACACCTCTGTTTTACTCCCTCAAGACAGCTTTGCGACACCTCTCCCAAATCCCTAAGGTTCCTAGGAGCCCAGTTTGTAAACAGATCTCTTAAGGAACAGGTAGGATATGAGAATACCTAACTGAATAATTAGATCACTAATCTATTTAGTCACTGCTTTAATATTTAAAGATATCTAGTGCATGCCAAGTTTTCTTTGAAAATAAATTCAAGATCATCAAGGAAATGATAATTGGCTGTTTGTTGAAAAAGAAAAAAAAAAATCTCCTACATCCTTGATCAGAAAACCTCAAGCTCATGATAACCTGGATCTGTCAGAAGGAAACACAGCTTTTATAAATAATTTTCTTTCGTCTCCATCTTCAATGGCTCAACCATAAAGATATTGAGACATTGGAAAATAATAACACTGATTTTAAAATTAATGCTCTTCACTTTTTAAAATTATTCTTTACACCAGAAGTAGAACTCCGAACATGCTGACAAGGCTCTGAATTCACCAGATTCAAAAGTCAATGAGATTTATGTCTATACTTCTTTCTACAAAGTATTGCTATACTTTTGTTGTCATCTCTCCCTTAGTTCCCTTATTTTTGGTCCACCAGCAGTGAAATTTTAGAAGTTAAACTCTTCTCTTAGTCTTAGAAAGAAATGTGGCTTGAAAAATATCTACTTATTTAAAATTTCAAAACTAAGATCTGAAAAGCCCATATAAAAGACGTACCTACTTACGCAGCTACAACAATTCCTATAGTCTGGCAGATGCTTGAGTGTGCATCTTCCAGACTGTCACCATCAAACAATATTTTGTTACTTTTTTAGTGCTGCGATTAGACAATGCACCGGAACCGTATGATGTAAGTTTTGGGAATTCTAGTTATTATAACCCAACTGTGAATGACTCATCCTTGCCAGCAGGCCGAGAAAATGCACGTGATGGCATTCCTATGGATGACATACCTTCACTTCGTACCTCAATGTAAAACTAAGGGAAAAAGGCTTCAGACAGCAAATGTTCGCCCACATCCTGGCCTTTCCACAAACCCATCTTCCAAAAGCTGAAGCAAGATCGCTGTCATGTGGCTTGTGCCAAGGAGAACTGTAAAAGCGTGAGACTAGTAGCAGAAACATAAAGAGAGGATAAATCATCCAAAAAGTTTCCTTCCTTACCATTTTTGGCTGTGCTGAAGCATCTAATGAGTAACCTTGATTTGTATTTTGGTCTATTTTTTTCTTAGTAGGAAATGTTTGTGGAATCAGGTAAAACTAAATGATTTCACCATGATCGCCCTGCCTGATAATTTAATTTAAAAATCCTTCAATGAAAATAGGGACCCAAAACTACACTTTCACATTTTTTTTTTGTGGACAGAAACAAATGGATTGACTCTTTACTGTCTCCTCCCCACCCCCACCCACTGTAGTCCTAATGCCATGCATCACGACTGGCATTCTCTTGAAGAAAAATTGGAAGAGTGATTTTTTTTTTTTTTTAATTTCCACTTAAGGCTAGAAAGAGAGTGTGGCACAGAGTTTCTGTTCCTGGGAAATTAAGGTAACGGGAGAGAGACCTGTATTCAGTACCTTTTACTTCTCTGTATCAGGGGATACATGGTCAGCCCCTTGACTTGCCAAGTTGACAATGACTTGCATTCAACAAGGCCATGGTAGAAATCTGATCCTAACTAGGAAAGTAACTGATTCTCTTCAAATGGTGAGGCATTCCAACCTGTCTGATTTACTCTAGGCCTCAGTTAATTGGGTCTTTTAGAAATTCTATGAGAAACATGGTGAAAAAAGTCAGCCAAAGCATACACCTGTACATAATTTTTACTTTTAAGATGTTAGATAGGAACGGGATTTATTACGTATTAGACATTATTGCTCAATCGTATATGGGATAGATTCTGCATCTCTAAATGTATGAAGTATAAGGTTAAAATAATAGATGAATGGAGATATTAAGCAAACAAAAAAACTTTCTGAGCCCCACCTTCAAGAGCAAAACTACAAGAAGCCTAACTAATTTGGATTCTAGTATGTTTCAATTAGTTTTTAATTACTACCTGCTTTTGGTAGGAAAAATACATTCCTTAGCATAGTAAGGTTGAGGCTTTAGGGATTACAGGATTAGATCAAGGGTTAAAATTCCCAAAGAAGCAGTGAATGTGTAAAGACGGCAACCAAAGCAAGAGACTTTGTTGTTGAATGGATACATGGGGTGTGTGTGTGTGTGTGAAGAAATGCAGCAACAGCCTCAGAAAATAAGGGCTAGGAAGTAAGTAATGGAAGAACATACTTACCCCATATTGCCATAAAAATAGCAAAGAAGACTGTCCCTCCATTATCAAACAAATATGTCACCTTAATGGAAAACAAACAAAAATATTAGTCACACTATTGGTTATAATAATCCAGTGATTGCTGCTTGCACTTAGGTCCTACGGTGTTTTTTTCTCCCAAAGGAATCGCCTTATTTTGTAGTTTGTAAATATAAGCTATGAGATGCTTCCATGGGTCCTGCAACTGTTTCATGTGATTTTCTCCTGGGAGAGGGGAGGAATCAGCAGGTTTCTCCTTTTCTTCTCTCTTGCCTTGGATTCCCTTTGGACTCCACCTTCATTTCTGCTCAGAAGTGGTCCTAGTGCCCCAAGGAAGTATTTGTGGGCCACAGATAGTCCAGCTATGCTGTGAGCTGTAAGAAGTGAGCTCTTCAGTTTAGGCATACCTAGTGGCACATCCTGTTAGTGAAACTTCCAGGATTGGGGATGTTGCAAAATGCAGACTTCCACCAGTGAGCCAGCACTTCCAACGGAAAGGAATCCCAGTGCTGTCCCTACTCTCTGATGTCTCAGAATGTGCCGTGGGTCACGTAGTGGCCATAGGAAGTAATGAATCCCACTTTAAGATGTTTTTAAGAAGTGTCATAAATCACTGGACATTTAGGATGTAGTCAAAATGTGTTTGAATCAGACATTACCTGAGGTTTTATAAAGAACAATGTACAATTATATGATGTTATTGAATACAATTATCAGGGTTGTGAGCATTGTTTGATTTTAATAAAGTGTAAATTCATTTTACCTTTGCTTCTTTTCATTTGCAATAATGTCCTCATTGTATTTATAAGTTAGTAAGGGAAATTAAACCAATACAGCCAAGGCGATATATGTTTGGCAGTCACATAAATACCATAGAAACTATAGAGAGAATAGGGGCACTAGCCTCACAGGAGAGAGCAGCCAATTAGGGGCTAAAGAACCTTATTCTAAGGAAGTGGGAGTGCAATGGTGTCTTCTTTGCTCAGTCTACAGGCTAGAGGCTCCTTAGTGGGGGCATTAAAACAACACTAATGTGTATTTTAATTGTCACATCTGGAATACACTGCAAAACAATATGGAAAACAGATAAAGGTAGGATGCGTTTTCTTGTAATGTAGCATTATTGAAAATATCACTATACAGAAATGTGCTCCTTTTGGAGATCTGTGGATAGATGCAAGATGTTCTACATGGCTCTAAACCTCTATGATTGTTAAGGCTCCGGATTTCTCAAAATGTTACAAAAATTGGTTTTCACAGCAATCATCAGTATATATTACGTACAGGAGAAAAAAGGACTATAAAGAAATTCTCTTACAGAGCTCATAAAATCACACCCGGCAGGGGAATCCAGCTTTTTTGTCTCTCAAAGGCATCCCACAGAGACACCTGCTGCTGCCGAGCAACTGAACAGCTGTCTGCTTTCCTTTGTGAACAGACCTAGTGCAGGAAACCGCCTCTTAGAGGATTAGAACAGAGACTTTACACATGCGGACTTAAAGGTCACCAAGAAATAATGGCTCTCCCCTGCTCTAGGAACAGCCATGCTTTCAGAAAAGTCACAGATAAAAAGCCATACTTAACAACAATTGTGTTGCATGGACATGATTTGTCATGGTTTATGCAATGTTCTCCTTAAAAAAGCTCTTCATTTTTTTTTTTCTTGCTAGGTTTCAGGCGTTTTTTAACTCAATAAATTTCAACACTAACTTTTTAGAAACACATCCATGAGACACAGTGAAGTATACATGTAATATACATGTAATGTGGGATTACATACATGTAATGGGACGTAAAGCTAGAATGGGAATTAGGTAGGACTTCAGAACTTGCCCTAAGGAGGAGTGTAGACGTATAAGATCATTGTGTTAGATCCACTAAGCTGTTACATGGGGGATGTTATGGGAGACCATGGAGAGAAGAAGAGCAGTTACAAGCCTGTGGGTACAGATTGAGGTGCTAAGCACATCATTGTGGGTGCTGATATAAGAGCTGCTGAATGACAATGGTGAGCAGCTGAAGGAAGAGTCAAGCAGAGTGTGGGTGGCTCAAGGTTAGATCAGGGGTGATTGGCAGGAGAATGGGGGAAGAGGCCTTCTGCCTAATAGGAAAGGAACACTTGCTCTATAAAAGAAAACTCCAGAAGAAGTCTCAAGAAAATTCCCAAAGCAATATAATAGACTTTTCTAAAGGCAAAAAGAAGCTTGTCCTGTCTACAAATGTAATTGGCAATGAAATATTGTACTAGAAAAATAGCTTGCCTCTATGCATAGGGGGACCTATGGAGAAGCATTTTATCCAATTTTGTTGATGTGAGTAGGGAATATATGAAGATAGAAGCAAACTGAGCCTCAAACAAAACTGTGTTTAAGCACAAATTCTCCATTATCTTTGACATCTGATTTCTCTCAGAGAGGTGAATGTGGCTAGAAATCAATAAATGTGGGTATTGTTTAAGGAGATAAATTTCTTACTGGGTTGGAAGATTAAAGTTTATGTCTCCTCTACTTTAGTGGCTAGATCTCTCTCTAGAACTGTTCGATGGGTTCAGAATAACATAAGGCTCTGGAAACTGCCACTTATACTCCATTAAAGCCCCTTTGGGCTAAGGACAGCAAGGTGCCTCTCGGGCAGATTCAACCCTGCCAGCCAGGCTATTACCGGTGAGGGGTGCAGGAAGTAGGAATTCAGGCTGGAGTTCAGCCCTCTCTCACTTCCTCAGTCATTAATTCTTAGACAGGGCAAAATCTGTACAACCATCCATGTTCTCTGAACCTGGGCACAAGCTACACCAAACATGGGAACTTCAAGAGTCCACTTCCTTCCCCTGACCCTTTACCTATTTAGGGCAATATCTTTTAAAATGTTGTCCTAGGAATCAGAATCACCTGAGGAGCTTGTTAACTTGCAGATTTCTAAGCCTCACCCTTGATTGACTGATTCTGAATTTCAGTACCTGAGGCCCAGGAATCTGCTTTTTAACAAATGTTCTTGGTGATTCTGATGTATAGCCATACACCAACTCAACCATGAAGCTTCTTAGAGAAGAAACACCCTCTGTCCTATTTCTGTTGTAGCCTCAGTGTACAGTCTGAGGCTCATCCTAGGTATTAAATAAATGTTGAACAAGTAAAAAAAAAAAAAACCCAAAGATAATAACTATTATGAATAAAGCTAACGTCAGGAGTTGAGTCATTTTTAGAATTATATGAAAAAACAATGCAGGACCCTTCTATCTAATGATTTCCCCTTAAATGAGAAATCTTAGCATAACGGGAATTGACACAGCGTGATATCAGGTGCTTTTAAATGAGTGTGAAAATATCACCGAATTACTTAATTGCAAAAATGTCTCAATTCCCATACTTTTAATTATTAAAAATGAAAACAGTCATCAAAGAAAATGTTAATGTTCCTATATATAATTTTTATCATATGACAGAATCAGTCTTCCCACGAAACATAACCTTGAAATTATTAAGAGAATAATTACATGTATACACACATACTTTTCAACAAAATATAGCAGATTTAATTCTTGTTACTTGTCAAGAGTGATGATTGATTTCATACGGAATTGACAAGTCCCTAGATGATGTGACTAGGTGATCATGTGGATAGATGATCCTAGATTGGTTGGCTCCTTTCTTTGGTAAAAATCTGCTCCCTTATTTCTGACACTGCCCAACAAGTAACTTCTAGATGTTTAAGTATGTAAACTGCTATTAAAAAAGAATGTTTATTTCCATCCAATGAAGGAAGAGTAATTCTGATTTTTAAGGTGAAAAACAAGTAGCTACATTTTATCTTAGCTAGAGGAACAAATACAAGACACATCAAATATTTCATCCTAGTGGGTTTTATTTCTTGTATCATTCCATAAGATAATATTCCCTGCAAGCTAACTTTTCCACCTTTTTTATAATAGTTATTAAGTGAATTATTGCTGAGTCATACCTGTCCCTATACATACTCTTTGCTACTAAGAAAAGGAGGGATGTAGATACTGCATAATGACAAAAGCCCCAGAGATGTAGCATTTCTCTGGACAGTTTCTTTACTTATTCACTCTGCCATGTGTGGATGTTTCTTATCTTTGTGTTGAGACAATGCCAGTGTGTTTTATTAGACCTGTCAAAGTAAAAGCAGAAGTAACATATGTATGGATTTGTTGGTGTCCCTAAGGCTGTCATATGTCTTTAAAATGCATGAGCTAGGAGAGGGACCTGTGTATATACATCCAATAACTTTAATACACTTGGCTTTTGCAAAAGGTGTTGAGAAAATTCTTCCCTAAATAAGACATCTTTCTGGAACGTTTAAAAGAATTCAAACTAAGAGTATTTTAGAAATTAAACTAAAAACAAAACAGACTTTTCTCATGCCACACACTCAAGGTAAATAATTCAGAAGCTAATTTAGTAAGTTTTGGTCTTGTTTAGGACATTGAGTTTAGGACATTGAGTAGCTTTTGATTTTATACCCAGTGTGTCAAAATTAATTGTACAGAGACCTCTACTTCTGAACAAGATGGAATAACAAAGATTGATTTTACCCCCATTCTGGAAACAACCAAAGAATGTACAAAATATATATAGCGTTAATATAAATATATAAAAATATAAAAACATTTCAAGACAGTGCGTGTTAGGCAATGAAGGACAATGATCCTTGAGAGGTGGGAAACAAATGAGGTGACCATTATGACGGCCTCAAGTTACTACACTGAAAGAGTTACGAGAGTGCAGAGAGGGACAACCCAGACAGCGCCCAGTGAGCACATATGTGAGCAAACTAGCTGAGGAAAGAACCACCTGAAAAGACTACAGGTAACAGCGTCAGGAGCTCACACAGAGTCGGGAATGGTGCCGATTCCCACTAGCCAGGAATGAGGAAATCCTCAGTATTGGCAGCGCATTGGGTACAGGACACAGAAAGATCTTGCTTTTATTGTGGGAAAAAGTAGTGCTGGGTAGTGCACTGCTGTGAGCCCATTTCACAAATCCTAAAAGCAAGACCCAAAAGGATCCAATTATTTTCAAGTGACTAAACTCCAATGAGATATCTCTACACGTGTATTAGAACAGTTAGAATTAAAAAGACTGACCATCTTGAGGATTAGTGACCATATGGAAAACTGGAACTCTCATACACTGCTGGTGGGAATGTAAAATGGTATAAAGGCTTTGGAAAATAGTTCGGCAGTTTCTTAGAAGGTTAAAACATCCACCTATCAAATAATCCAGTCATTTTACTCCTAGGTATTTACCCAAGAGAAATAACAATACTCGTCTATACGAAAATTCGTAGACGAGTGTTCATAGCAGCTTTATTTAAAATGGTAACAACTTGAAACAACCCAAAAGTCTACTAATAGACGAATGGATAAACAAACTCTGGTCTAGTCATATAAAGCAATACTACTCAGCAATAAAGAGGAATGACCTACAGATAAATGTGACAACATGGATGAATCTCAAAATAATTATGCTGTGTGAAAGAAGCCAGAAAAAAAATCACACGCTGTATGATTCCATTTACATAAGGGTCGAGAAAACACAAACATCTATAATGACAGAAAGCAGTTGGCTGCCTGAGAAGGGTGGGGGTGGGAGTTGGGGTAGGGGGAGGGTTGGGGTGGGGTAGGAACAGGGATTATAAGAGGACTTGAGGAAACTTTGGAAGCGATGGCTACATTCATTATCCTGATTGTGGTGATGGTTTCACAGGTGCATATATATAATCAAAATGTATCTATTTATAAACTTCAAATATGTACATTTTATTATATGTTAATTATACTTTAATAAACCCTTTTACAGATAAATAATAATAACTGTAAAATCGAGTTTCTCAAACTTGTGTGTACATTGGAATCACCTGGAAAGTTTTAAAATATGCTGACACCTAGGTTCCAAACCCAAAGATTCTGATTTAATTGCTCTGGAGTGTGGCTTGGGCTTCAGGAGGTTTAAAAAGCCCTTCAGGTGATTCTAATAGGCAGCAATTTGAGAACTTTTGGTATATTATTTCATTTTCTCTGTAAAATTAGAAGTAGTTTAATTTCATGAGTCTTCATGGAAGATACAAATTTAATTATTAGCAATGAAAATAATCATTTTCTCCTAAAAACATCTAGATATCATTGTAAGTGGAAGTTTATGTCTATGATGGCAATAATCAGTTATAAAAACAAAGGAAGATAAAGATATTCAAATAAAAATATATTTGTTTTGTAATTGCTGCAGGGTGGTATTTTATTGCATTGTCAATGGTATGGATTGTTGAAACTCTGGGGAACACTTAACTTTGGTAGAAAGCAGTTTGCTGGAAGACTTGTTACTACCTGCTTCTTAGAAGAAGCAGAGCTGGAGGAGGAGAACGTGAGGGTCCACACCCACCTTGGCGTAGATACAGCTCTCGTTGAGTCTTTGCAGTGAGCAGTTCTTGTCACAGAGAGGGCACATGAAGACTTCAGTGGCCTTGCAAATTTCTTGGCTTGAGAAATCAAAGAAGAAAAAGAAAGCATGAATCGCCATGTTTAGGAAGGTGCTTTGCCCCTGTGGCTGGTCCTGCAGGAAGCAGTAAGGCAGCGAGGAAAAGAAGTGGAAGTAGTGGGGAGTGGGGGGCACATAGGGAAGTAATTAAGACTGTGGCTCCAACTCGAATTTTTAGGGTATTTGTGATACTGAAGTTTTTGTTTGCTTCTTTGGTTTTAGAAATCTCTGCCAAGATACTGTAATGATAATAAGCCATATTTTACCCTTGTGAGACACTTGTGGGGCTTTGTTACAAAGACAATTTTACAAACGATTTCATGGCAAGCAGGATAATATTGTGAGGAACACGCAAGGGAGTTTCAACCAAGCTCACAGGCTTGGAAGCGACTGAGCTGGAATCAAATCTGATTATTCTGATTTCTCAGGTCTATCAATCTTTCCCCTGGATCTCGCTGCCTTAGAATCACCAAAATGAACAGCATCCATAATTCACACAACTTCATAACTGCCACTGCAGTCAGTCGGTGCATCAAGTTCATTGCGAATTTGAGGGAGATGATTTTTTTGTGTGGTGCCTCCACACACACTGTCAAACCCAAGCACAGATCTATCAAAGCACCAAGTCTAGAATCCTAGCCATCAGACAGTCCTATTTTTAATTCCAGAATCATTAAACTCATTTTCTGTAAGTTGCTCAAAGTTTAACTTGATACGTAACATAAAAAATATTAAACAATTTTTTTAAAATAATTTTATTTATTTATTTTTTTCCCCCAAAGCCCCAGTAGATAGTTGTATGTCATAGCTGCACATCCTTCTGGTTGCTGTATGTAGGAGGCGGCCTCAGCGTGGCCAGAGAAGCGGTGTGTTGGTGCGCACCCGGGATCCGAACCAGGGCCGCCAGTAGCGGATCGCGTGCACTTAACCACTAAGCCACAGGGCTGGCCCTTAAACAATTTTTAACAACGTATTTTTTAGCCTAAAATAAGAGATTGGAGATGATTACAAATTTCTTTGACTTTACTTAACTACTAAAGGGAGGGAGAGTGGCCAGTGTTTCATAATTTCTTTTGCAGAACCTGATAATATAAACCACCACTTGAACTGTGGCTTTCTTTCGTTTTATATCTATTGTTAGATACACACATCAAGGGCTGATTCGAAGGAAACAATAACCACCAATTTAAGATGATAGGAGGAGGGAGCAATTTGTCCATTTGGGAGTAGACGTCTGGACACGCTCCAGGGTCTTGATGCTTCCTATGATTCTGTTAACATGACAAAGCACAGAATAAGATGCTTGGTGATGTCCACTTTGGGGAAATGTGAAAGTAGGTTTAAGGGAAGGCAGTATGGAAGCATGAGTAAAGCATGGATTTTAAAATCAGATATATTCTTCAGGAAAAAGCAAATCAAATCATGTGATATTACCTCACAGCTGTTAGGATGGCTATAATCAAACAAAACAAAACAAAAGATAAGTGTTGGCAAGGATGTGGAGAATCTGGAACACTTGTACATTGCTGGTGGGACTGTAAAGTGATGCGGCTGCTAAGAAAAACAATATGGAGGGGCCGCTCGGTGGCGCAAGCAGTTAAGTGCATGCACTCCTCACAAAAGAAATAAAAATTAAAAAAAAAAACCAATATGGAGGTTCCTCAAAAAATTAAAAATAGAACTACCATATAATGCAGCAATCTTACATGGATGAACCTGGAGGACATTGCGCTAAGTGAAATAAGCCAGTCACAGAAGGGCAAATACTGCGTAATTCTACTTATATTAGGTATCTAAAACTGTCAAATTCATAGAAAGAGAGTAGAATGGTTGTTGTCAGGGGGTAGGGTAGGGGGAAAGGGAGATTTGCTGTTCAATGGGTATAAATTTTCAGTTATACAAGACGAATAAGTTCCAGAGATCTGCTGTACAACATTGTGCTTATAGCCAACAATACTGTAATCTGCACTTAAAAATTTATGAAGACAGTAGATCTCATGTTAAGTGTTCTTACCACAATTAAAATAACATATCAGATATAGGTTTGACCACTTAGTAGATATATTGCCCTGACCAAGTCACTTACCTCTCTGAGGATCAATTTCTTCATCTCTAGATGGACGTAATATCTAACTAGGATATTACATAAGGGATACTGATAATGTGCCTCGTACATCACAGTCACTTGATAAACAGAAGAAACTCTTATTGCTAAGGATGTCATCAAGAGAGGCTTTGAGAGGACTTTTAGGACCCAATAGCTTTCGAAAAGCTTGTCAATACTGAGGACCACGAAAATTGCTTGGTAAGTTCTAATGCCAAAGAGGCAGAATAGACCAGAAAGCTGGAGTTTCTGCTCTTTGCCCTGGACCTGAAACCCAGGGCTTGAGAAGCAAGCCACATCTACCAGCTCACTCATTTTCCTATTCCTATGATATGTGCTCTCCCAGGCACAAATCTGACCATGTTTGGTTATGTAAGACAATGAACACATATAATACATACATGAACATATACATACAATAAATAATCTACAACTTGATTGTTATATCATTCTACATTTAACTGCAGGGCAATTAAGAAATTTGACCTTAATTTACATAAACATAGCTTGTAGAAACATAATAAGTAGAACCCAATCTTCAGCTTTTTAACATTGTTACCTTGCAATAAACAAAAATGAGCTTAATAAAATAATATTAAAACAAAGCAACATGAAATAAAAGCCCCATGTCCTCCCCTAATCCACCATGATAACACCTACGACTTAACCACGTCTGACACCTTCAATGGAAAATTTCAGTGATGCTTATCTTGGTTTAGAATAGAAAGTCTGACAAGATCTTAATTACACTGTGACAGCAGTAGCAGTGATATCATACCATAATGCACTGAAGAAAAGATCTTGCTAACACCTTTTAAAACACTCTTTGTACTAAAGGTTAAAGAATACTTGTCTCATACAAAAGGAGCCTAATTTACTCCACTGGTGCATAAATCAATAGGAACAGCAAATCTATTCCTTTCATTGTCTTTTGTTTATTTTCAGCTTTGCGGGGTTGGGGGGGGAGTCTATACCACAGGGTAAAACTTTGTGAATATGTTCTCCACAGAACCGGCTTGAACAGCAGCTAACTGTCTGAGAATCATTTTCTGTCATTATCAATCCATTTTAAGAGTGTTTTTCAGGGCCGGCCAGTGGTGTAGTGGTTGGGTTCACCACTTCAGTGGCCCAGGGTTCACAGGTTCGGATCCTGGGTGCAGACACAGGTATCGCTTATCAAGCCATGCTGTGGCAGGCATCCCACATATAAAAAAAAAGTAGAGGAAGATGGGCATGGATGTGGGCCCAGAGCCAATCTTCCTTGGCAAAAAGAGGAGGATTTGCAACAGATGTTAGCTCAGGGCTAATTTTCCTCACCAGAAAAAAGTGTGTTTCTAAAACCCTAAAAGTGTGTTTCTAAAACCCTAAAGACTCCATCAAAAAACTGTTAGCAATAATAAACAAACTCAGTTAAGTTGCAGGATACAAAATCAATATACAAATATCAGTTGCATTTCTATACACTAACAACAAACTATCAAAAAGAATAAAAATACTTAGGAAAATATTTAACCGAGGAGCGAAAGATCTGTACACTGAAAACTGTAAGACACTGATGAAAGGAAATGAAACTGGACCCCTATCTTACACCATTCACAAAAATTAACTCAAAATGTATTAAAGACTTAAGTTTAAGACCCCGAAAGTGTTAAGACTCCTAGGAGAAAACATAGGGGTAAGCTCCTTGAAATTGATCGTGGGAATGATTTTTAGGATTTGACACCAAACGCAAAGGAAACAAAAGCAAAAATAAACAGGTGGGACTACATGAAACTAAAAAGCTTCTGCACAGCAAACCACCAACAAAATGAAAAGGCAACCTACAGAATCGGAGAAAATATTTGCAAATCATATATCTGATAAGGGGTTAACATCTAAAATATATAAAGAACTCAAATAATCTAATTACAAAACAGGCAGAGGAATTGAATAGATATTTTTTCAAAGAAGATATACAAATCAACAGGTACACGAAAAAATGATCAGCATCACTAATTATCAGGGAAATATAAATCAAACCACAGTGAGAAATCACCTCACATCTGCTAGAATGGCTATCATCAAAAAGATAAAAGATAAGTGTTGGTAAGGATGTGGAGAAAAGGGAGAGCTTGTGCACTGTTGGTGGGAATGTAAATTGGTGTAGCCACTATAGAAAACAGTACGGAGGTTCCTCAAGAAGTTAAAAATAGAACTACCATATGATCCAGCAATCCCACTTCTGGGTATATAGCCAAAGGAAATAAAAAGAGGATCTCAAAGAGATATCTGCACTCCCATTAGGAATATGGGAGCATTCAGCATTCACTGCAGCATTATTCATAATAGCCAAGATATGGAAACAACCGAAGTGTCTGTCAGCAGATGAATGGACAAAGAAGATGTGGCGTGTGTGTGTGTGTGTGTGTGTGTGTGTGTGTGTATGTAATTTAGTCATAGGAAAGAAGGAAATCCCGCCATTTGTGACAACATGAGTGGACCTTGAGGATACTATACTAAGTGAGATAAGCCAGACAGAGAAAGAAAAATACTGCATGGTATCACTTTGTATGTGGAATCTTAAAAAAAAAAACACAAATTCACAGAAACAGAGACTAGAAAAACAGTAAAAAAAAAAAAAACACAGTTTTTCTTTTCAAGCCACTACGACTCTAAATCATGACGTCTCTTCTTAGCCTCAGAGGTCACTGATTCAACAGCATACAGAGAAACGCCCAAAAGGGGATAGATGTTTCCAGTGGGCACAAGTTTGTCCAGGAAAATGCTGCCTTCTAGAGTGGTAGTGAGTTTGCAAAACTCTGAAATAAACCTGTGACCAGATGAAATACTTTTGAACAGGGAGTGTTTCTTTGTTTTCATGCTAATTATCATTTGGCCTTCATGAAGAACAAGGCAACTCTTGACGCCAAATCAAGGAAGTTGCTTATGGAACAGGATTCAATTCTAGGACCATGAAACCATCTGGTTTTGAGGCAAAATTGTTATACATATACAAACATATACATATGCATATTATAAAAATATTTAATGAAAATTCAAGGAAATGGATTGTTATGACCCCATTATTATCCAGTAGCAAGGCCATGGTTAAAGGCTGACTGAAGGAGAAAAAAGGGCTGAGTTTTGAAGGGAGGAGAAGTGCTTTTTCACATTTTGAATTGTATCATACAAAGCTGAACTCAATGACATCCTTGTGATATATTAAATAGCACATGCTGTTAAGAGGATACTTTAATGGGAGGATGACTCTTGCCTCTGCTGAATAATAATGTATTGTTCTTATATCTAAATCTTGAGTTGTTTCAACTTTAACATAAGAATTACCATTCTGATAAATGTTTGATTTTTGTTGAATTTTATTTTGCTACCATCTTGATATCTTAAGTTGATGCTAAAAAAATCGTAAAGAGAGTATGAAGAAAGTAGAGAGTGATTTTATGTTCTCAGGAGAGGAGACTGCTTAAAGCAGGATTTATGTGGTATGAATATTTTGTTTAGATATCTTTAACTACGTAAGATACCCTCATGTGTGAAAAGGAATACTCATCTCCAAGGGTGGAAGTGAAGGTTATATCAAATGAAACAATGTATTTGGAAGGTCTTTGTATATTGTAAGTGTTTAAAGAACTGTAGCTGTGATAATTATTTGAACTAATGTATTGAGAGGGCATTCTAGACTATCAAATACTATGAAAATGGAAATTAAATAATACTTATCTATAGCATTGTTGAGTTATTATGTGGAATATACTAGAAAGAGAAATTTGGCATACAGAAAAACAGTCTTAGAACTTACCCAAGAAAATTTGGATATAAAAGTACGGAAATGACCTTTTTTATGGTGTTTCTCCCATACAAGCAAAAAAACCCAAAAAACAGCAAATAAATTGTAGCACCATCACTTGTTTTTCATAGTCAGTATTATCATAAAGGTTTATGCCCAATCAGAAGAAAGGCCAAACGTTTTTAGTAAGTCTGCTAATTGCTTACCTTACTTGACTTGCATTCATTGTTAATATTCCATAGAAGAAAACACACAAGCCGACAAGTGCTGCAGGAATGAGCATCCCAGTGTACCAACCCAGCCAAGCAAAGTAGAGCCCAATCTTCTCACCAAAGTACAGCCTGCACGAGAACGCAAATCCTTAGCTTAAGGCGACATAAGCGACACCACAGACATTGATGTCACACCTGGTCAGGATTTCAGGTGGACACTTGAGGCTACCAGCTCAGTTCCTCATCACCTCCATCTGGGGTATCTTAATATTCCTGCTTGTTAATGAATCTAGTAACAGTGATATTGTTTATCTTTAAATATTGTCATTATAGGGGCAATTTATAAAATGTGTTTATTTCTGGGTCAAACTTCTTAACACGGCTCATAGAGCTTTTTATAAGCCAATTCTTGCTTTTCTCCATCCTCCTAGTAGAATCCCTTTGTGTTTTCCACACACAGAGCTGTGCTAAACCATATCGCCTTTGTGTAAATTAGAAAACATTCTCCCCTCTAGGTGGATGCTGAGAGCAGATTAGATTTCAGTCCATCTGCACCCTTGGCTGGACTCCCTTATGCTGAACACAATCTGCACAATTAGGTCGCTTCTTCCTCAACAAAGTTCAACTCTGCAGTTCCTGGAGCACAGGATTCCTTCCTTGGCTAATGCTGTTCCCTCACTCTGGAATATTACGTTTCACCCATTTCGCTTTCCAGCTTGTACTTATCCTTCACTTTATATCACTCCTTCCAGGAAGCCTTTCCTGACTTCCACTCCAACCCTGAGTTACAGGCCCCGCTCTTGCTCTCACACTGCCCTCCCCCGAGTTTCAGCGTTCTAGACTCACAACACCTCACGGCCGTCACCAGTCACTCCTCCATTCCTCTCCCTCCCCGTAGACTGCAAGCTGCTTGAAAGCAGACCTGCGTCCTGTTCCACGAGCACCCACCACAGGAAGCACTGAAGAAGCTAAGGGAATGAATGTATTTTATTTCTCTTCAGCTGATGAACACAGTTTCTATGGAAGTGGCAGATGAATAAGGCAGTTCTGATGACTACTCAATCGCTGTTTCTTCACCAAATCTACTGCCAATATTAACTGTCAGACAGTTTATAAAAGCTCTTATCAAAAATAATAATTTTTTGAATTCTCTGCTACTGTTTGGTCACCATTTTCCAAAAATGGTTCTTTAACACACGGTTTTGTCCCAGCAATAGTTTTAAAGATTGGTGTTTGACAGTTCATTTGGAAATATTGCACTGGGCAGTGATTCTTGCTGGGAAGAAAATTCTCTTGATATTTTTTCCATAATGAGACTTCTCTTTCTGAAAAGCATTCTCCTTCCACTTCATTCTCTGTATTGTGCCAACTAAAATTTGTGCATATTCTACTAGATGTAGAATGGAGTCATCCTCCATTAAGCATCATTTATCTAATCTTTTTGTTTTTTCACTTATTTCTTCTAGGGGACATAGATCAATAGTCTATTCATGTCTTATACAATGATAATGTTCTACTTTGAGACAGAAGCTTATTATATTAACAGGTATTGCAATAAAGCCGTTGTTCCTTTAAACCAGTGTTCCTCTGCAGGTGGAGTAGGGATTTTAGCACATATTGCTAACATAGCAGATTATCTTTATAATAATGATCATAGAGGACTGTACAGACAGACTCCCCTTATACAGACAGTATTATACTGAGATTTTTAATTACACATTCTTCAGGTTAAGAGGAACAACAATATTATTTGACAGGAATATAGTCACCTAAGTTACAGCATATTTCAGATCTGTTTCAGGAGAGGGAGAAGCTAGTTCCAGGCAAAGAAGGCTGATGAAAATGCCCTGACCTGGAGCATTGGTATTCACAGTCTTTTAGGATCTCTAAGTGTCCTTAAAGGTTTCTCAAAAACCATGACAGGGCAAGGAGGAAGAGGGGGTTGCTACTGATGTCACTTCCCATCACACTTCACCCATAGCCACTCTCTTTTTATCTGTTTTATATATTGGTTCCTTATGAGACATTTCACTTGATGATAAGATTCTGCTGCTGAAATAACGTCTATCATAAAATAAACAAACGTTGAATTGAACTGTTTTAGAGATAATTATTTTAATTTTTAAATTTAAATCCCTCTGATGCCTATTGTGAAACAAAAAAAAGCCACACAACTGTTTTGTTAAGCAGGTTTTGTAGCTGATAATTTTTAAAATATGCTTTTTCCAGATTCAAATATGTTCCATGGAAAAATAGATTAAAACTGAAACAGACTTTGGCTACTAAATGTTTGAATTCATTCTTAAAATGGAAAAAAACACAAACACATATCCAGAAATGGTTATTTATAAAAAAGAAAATGAATTGACAGCCCCTCACCTTTCATCCACTATTAATGAACTGCCTTTTTCAGCATGAGAGAATACAGGCCTTGCCTGGGGGTCTCCATCACCCATGACCGAAGTATATAAAGAACCCAACTCCTAAACACACGCTCTCACACAGATAGGAAGCAACACAACAGGAGATCCATGTCCTCAAAACTGTGTAGTCTTAAGAACAACTTAACTCCAAATAATAAAAAGCCACAGATTTTAAGGCAACCTTCCTGGTGGTTGTAGAAAACTGGGCCTTGTACAAAATTCTATGCACAAGATCGCACAGTTTAATATGCATGTCTGCCTCATCACTATCTTACTTTCGGTAAAAAGCAAGTTCCTAGGAACCTGTTGAAATGCCATCTATCTTCTTTTACGACCTTCATCTTGGATGGGCCCTTCACCACATCCCTCTTCTCTTAGCCACTTGAACATGAAATATATGATTTTCATAAGCAAAATTTCCCTCCTATGTCAGCAGCCAAAGAATTGGTAATAGCGGCTGAATAACCCTATTTATTAAAATTAAAGTTTGCTTGCTGAAATTACCCGAAGCAGCAATAGCAATGTCTCTTATACATAAGAGAATTATGCTTTGCACGTCCAGATCCACACTCGACCCTTTCCCTTTCTGCTACGTGCCCCAAGAGGCTCTCCTCTATAAACTGTATCACCTATGCTCCTTCCTTCATCTGGCTTCCTGATGGGCTCATTGGCCAACTGAAGGTACCAGCAGGAGATCAGAGGGCGGGATAAAAGAGATGCTGGGGTATTTATTATCCTGATTTTCTCCTTCCTGTGCTATGCTTGGGCTATAGCTGCGTTCTTCCAAAGGCCATAGCTTCTGTCAGGCATCCCCCCTTCTATGGTTACAACTTTTGACAGGTTCTGCCAACTGCTCTCTCCCCTTGTCCCTCCAGGCCTAGGTTTGATAACAGCATCCATCTTTTGCTAGTCCCTGGAAGCTTCATCATCATTTGTTGGCTCCCTTGATCCTATTTACACTTCTGTATATAGTTCTTTTATTAAATTCTCTTCAAATACCCCTTCTAGGCTATCATCTCGGTCAGTTTCCTGCTGGGACAATGACTGATACCGTTATGAGTTATTCTTCATATTTATGATTCATAAACAGTTCAAAATATCAACATATATAACCTTATAATATGAATGCTCTCTTTTCTTTCATTCTATAAATATTTATAGTTAGCCAGGAACTTAATTAAGCTCTTTTTAATACATATTTCCTGAATTTTTTAAAAAGAACAAATTATCCTCCATCTAAATAAAATAAATCAGGAATGTAACAGTATTTCAAGACTAATTCAAGTTGAGGGCCGTTGCTTACTAAAATATATTTCCTGGAATAGAACAGACACTCACTAAATCTTTGCTGAAAGATAAATGTATGCTTAGATGCTATGTTGGTCATTTTCCTCTTTGTTCTTAGATCCATTTTCTGCCTTTCCTGGTTTTGATTTATTTTCACAGGGAAGCAGATTACACAGGTTCCCTTGTAAATTGCTCCTGGTTAAGTTGGGCCAGGAGGTACTGGAAGACTCAAAGGTGGAAGGAAGAGAGAAGCCAGGATCTTTTCCCCTGTCTTGGCCACGTCTCCAGGGCTCTCTCCACGAGGGCCACGCCCTCTCCACGGCTCTACTCCCACACTTCACTTCTCTGCAGGCAGTCCTCGTCGTGGATGGTATAGGTCCTGCCCAGGGGCCCAGGTCTTGGGCTCTGAAATACACTTCATCCGCTTTCCCTCCAGTTGGAGGGTTGTTAGCAATTTTCTACTGTTGTTAATCTCTGGTTGACTCACTATTCCTATTTGATTTCTCAGCTTTCCCATTCCCTGTGTAACCAATTCCCTAAATTCAGTTCCTTTTATTGAAAAGACCTATAGTGGCTTCTATTTTCCTGACTGTATCCTGACTGATACAGATCATTTGGTGGGTAAATGAAATACTTCCAAATCTAAGAAAATGAGAACAAAACAGCATAATAGTCTTCCATTATTGCTCCATCCACAGTACCTGATTAAATCCAGGGGCTGATGCTTGTACCACATGCCCCAGCGTGCCCAGCGCTCATATAATAGATGTCTGTTATTCTGAGGTCCATGGGTTTTGATGGGCTGGCTACTCTTGTAGGCTCCCTGAAACAGATAAAATAAGATAAATTGATATCCATTCTCTTAGTGAAATTTGAACTAAATAGAAATTGCTTTTTCTTTCTTTTACCTGGCGGAAGAATTTAATAACTTATTGAAAGCTTCAGAAACTGTACACTTAAGCCCATCACTGGAATATTTTAGTAAACACCTTTATATAGCTCTCTTTCATTGAAAATATTCTCATAGTTCTTTAAAAATCCTTTCTTAAATTCCCTTTTTAAACCAATGAGATCTCTTTCACTTAAAGTAAACTAGACTTTAGGTTTCATTGTTTGGAACCCAAGGTCTTTTAATAAACACAATATCTTCCCCACCATTGAGAGAAATTGTTATAACCTTTAGTTTGGAAATTAAGAATATTATTCTGATTTAAGAAGTGATCCAGTCCCAGAAAATATTTATTTCATTTAAAGACTCTAAGGAAGAGAGTAAATGCTCCTTCACAAAGTGTAAGAGGCCTGAGTCTAAGAGTCTAAGTGTAAGAGGCCTACAGGATGACAGTGCTCGTCATGTTCTGACATTCTAGAATCCTTAAAACTTACTTAAGATAAGATATTCCAAAAATTGAAGCATGTTTTCAAATTTTTTATATCCCCCCTCAAAAATGTGTAACACGGGTTGCGATTTCAGAAACATAGAATACATACGCCTTACAGAGGGAAGTGTTCCCTAGGCTAAACTGCTCTGCTTTTACAATCAAAAAAGAGGGCAAAAGATGTGATGACTATATTTTCTGAACCAAAACTTAGGACACGGGATTTGACAAAGTCTGTGTCCTCACTCCAATGCGTGATGCTGCTTTAATGAAAAGTTTGATGAGAATTTAAAACAAGTGGAGTTACGTCTCAGTTTCCTCACCCAGATGATGGGAATATGAATGAATGTCAATGATCCCAATATAGAGAGGTTTTGCGAGGTCCCACTTGGATAATCACTATAAAGTGCCATGCACGTAGGAAGTACAACATCAATGTTAGTTAGTTTTAGGTGTTTGATAAATTGGGGCCATTTAAAAGTGCAAACTATCATCTGAATGGTCCCAGACAACCAGGGCTGTGCGTTCCTATGCAGAAAGAGTACACCTTGAATCATGGTCTGCAGGTGCCTCAAGGATGAACTGAGACATACGTGGATTTCACCTCTGGTTTTCTAAAGAAATAGATAAATTAATTAGGTGAGGGTGGAACTATAGGTAAAGTGCAGTCTCAGAATTTTCTTCCCTAAGGAAGCCCAAGGTGTTTAAAGCCTAAAGATTGGAAGCTAAGGAGATGGAAGCAAAGACCAAGATTCTGAGCAAGGGGACATCCACTTAGGAAAGGTCTGTTTGCTTATGAAATTGGACTGACCTATTAAGGTAAACTGTCCTGAGACTGGGTAGGTAAGGGAAAGTGAACTGAAATCTCAGCTCTCTCTCAATCATTACTGATCATCCTTCTAAAATACAGGATTTTCATTTCTGGCCTCAGTGGTCAGACACAGGCACTTCCTGGGTCCTAAACTTAGGTTCCGTTGTGCATCACTGTTCTAACTCTGCTCAGTAACCTCAATCAACCACACTGTCCTGAGTTGACAATGACACGAGGTGGACTGCGTGAGAAAACTGACCAAACTGATGGCTCCTGTCCACCCACGTATTTTCACCCCTTTCCAGAGGACCATATACCCACCATCCAATGATTGGCCGCCTCCTCCAACCAACACACTTTTCCTCTGTCTCCACTATTCATAATTGATGGAATTATCAGTTCTATCAATATCTTAGGCGAACTCTTTCTCACTTATATATCTCTCTTCTTCTCTTTCTTTCTTCTTTTTCATGCCAAATTCCCCTGGAAATGTCTTTCTCTTCCCTCTAGCTATTGTCCCTTTGGTAACTAAAAAATAAATCTCAACTATGGGTGAAAAATATGAGACTGACACTACCATTACTCCTGCATCAAGGAAGCAAGAAGCCATAAACTGTGAAGCGAGGTTAATCAAATTACAGAGTTAGTGCCATTGACTTCATTTTCCCCTAAGTAAGCTTTATTTCTCTTTCCTCAAGTAGTAGCATATAAAATCAATAGAAAATTCCTGAGTCCATTTTATTGACCTTCTTCTTGGTTTTAGTTACTCATATTTCAACAATATTGTTTTATGTATGTGTTTCAATACTAGTATCTCTACCAAATTATGAGAATGAGAAAATGACTATTATTTACAACCCATTCCTAATAGGTTCCACATTTCACACAAGAAACTGTCAAATGAACTGTCAGAACACAGTCTAGTTATGCAGAGAAAATCACTTACACAGAGAACAAAGCAAACCTTACTTTGCTACAGAAGGTCTCCCCGGGCCTTAGGTTGGCCACTCTGAACACTACCACTCACTGACCGTTGTATTTGACACGGTGTTTAATTTCTCTGAGCCTTGTTTCTGTATGGCTAAGATGGAAAAATAATAATATCTATCCCTCCACGGTTATTGTCAGATTAGTGGGAAAATACATGCACAGGGCCTGTTACATGAAATGCACTAACATATTACCTGCTATTGTCATTCCTAGTGCTACTGTAAGTAGGCACACCTTAGTGGACAGAAGCATGGAGGTCTGGCTTCCTGGGCTCGAAACTGTGCCTTTGAGACTTAACCTTTCTGTGCCTCAATGATCTATCTATAAAAGGGGGTTGTTATTGTCTATCTCAAAGGGTTGTTGCAAGGATTAAATGAGATAATCCATAAAAATCATTTAGCTGAGTACCAAATAGGAAGTGCTCAGTACATTTTATCTTTTATGAGTTATACTAGACCGAATTCCTCAGGTATAGACATTTTGTCCTGTGAGTCCTCACGCTTTAAAAACGGAAGAGTGATGGGTTTTGAAAGTGCATACATTAAATCTCTCTAGACCCTATTCTTATTTTAAAATGCAAAATTGCCTTAAAAAGAATATTGTGTGTGTGTGTGTGTGTGTGTGTGTGTGTGTGTGTGTGTTGGGGGAGGGTGTTTAAAACTGACTCAAATGACTCAGCAGGCAGAGCCCCCCACAGCTTGCAGCAAGCATTTCTACTTAAAACTGGTAGAGAGCAAATAATCTGGCAGAGAATCGAGTAAATAATGGGGTGTGGGTTTTTGTTGTGGGTTTGTCTTCGATTTTCAGGTATCCTAAAGTAGTAGGCACAGACCAGAACTGCCCTGTTTGGGAGCGTTGTGGACACCAAGTGGGTCAAGTGTGGAGCTCTGTGCTGGAGCAGAGCAGGTGGCCAGGGCAGCTGAGCCATGTCCCTGGGTCCCATCCGAGGCTAGGGTTCCTGACATGGGGCAAAGTGCAGAGGAGTTCCGGAGCACAGGAGCCAATGTGCAGCCACGGATTATAATGGGGTCTCAGAAAGGCCCAGGGCCACCCACTGATTGATCCCTACTGGGAGAGGGCAGTCAGACCTAAATGAAAAAAATGGGATCAAACACTGAGCATGAAAATTTTTTGTGTGTGTGTGAGGATGATCAGCCCTGAGCTAACATCCACGCCCATCCTCCTCTACTTTATATGGGACGCTGCCACAGCATGGTTTGATAAGTAGGTCTGCGCCTGGGATCTGAACCTGCAAACCCTGGGCTGCCGCAGCAGAGCATGCGAACCCAACCAGTACACTACCAGGCCAGCCCCGAGAAATTCTTTTTTTTAATGGAAATGTTATTTCAAAATTACCTCATGTGGGGGGAAAGCTGCTATATATGAACCATTGTTTATAAGTTTGCAGATACCTGGAAAGAAAAGAAAAGAATAGTTCTTGAGTCAGTTAAATGAAGAGGTCCCTCTGAAGCAACATACATATACTTGGGACAATAAATTAATTTAAAAACCTAAAATAACCCAAATGACTCCCATAGCCACATCACCTATGAGAACAGTGAGGTTGTGAAAGAGACTGATACTAAGAGTCTAATTGTGTCCTTACAACATTAATGAATGGAGATTTGCAAGGTGCCAATGCATGGCACATTGCCATATCATGAAATATGGGGCATTTTAATACCCACTTGTTTGGGATCACATGAGCCTGGAGCAACTATTTTTCCCCCTCAAAACAATAAAATTTTGTCAAGGAAGCAGAAAAATTCCCCATTCCCAAAAATGTCTTAAAAGAATATTTGTACTGAGAAATCTTTAATTATTAAATATTAAGCCAAAGAGACATATAAACACCAATCTGTGATACTTAAAATCTCTGCCATCTCAGTGAGAGATGAAGTGATGAGGTGAAATGGAAAGTCTCATATAGTCCTGGGAAGACTAGATATTGGGAAAACCTTTCTAGAGAGCAATTTTTGCTGTAATATTATTATAGCATTAGTAGGAATTAAAAATAATCATACATCTAAAATAGGGGAATTATTTAATTATGGTATAATCAATTATATTAGGTGCTTGGTAAGAATTGTGATTTGATGCATGCTTATAATAGAACATTGTACAGCTATTTACAATAATGTTTTCAGGCATACTAAAGGGCTTGAGAAAATACTCATAATGGTAATTTTAAAGAAAGGATAAAAAATTGTAAATGTTGCCTGATTCTAATTATGATGTGTATATATATACATATATTCAGTACTAATTTGCAACAGTGACGATTGAATATAGGAAGTTTTTAATTCTATTTTTTACTCTTCTGTTTTTATTGTATGTTCTACAAAGGGCATGATATCTTTACAATCATTTAAAACGTTGTATATTTATTTTTAAAGACTACGTAAGTGCACAGTGCTGTCATTTAGATACATTTTTAGTTTATATTCTGGATTTCTCTTTTTATTTCTTGTTCAGAAAACTTCTGATTAAGTGTCAAATTATTTTTTGTAAGGATTTAGCGTCTAAATTAACTATTTTGACTGCTCAGTAATAAATGAATTATTAATCAGAGGAAAACCAAAGTCTGAACGTTCTTCCTTTAAAAATGGGCGACTTGAAACAGTTCATTTTACTTAAATTGCACTCTATTTTAACGCAAATCAGTAGAGATTCGTACAAGTTTCCATGGGTAATCTGTTTTTCTCTTTTTGTTTTTCCCCACTTAATAATGCATTGTGGATATCTTTTGAAGTCAATAAACAGAGAAGTAATCACTAATTTTCAGTCTCCTTGAGTAAAAGGTCTATGCCATATACTTTCTATAATGTATAGCATAAAAGAAATGCTTGATACATTTGAGTGAAGAGTGAATAAACGTCACAAAATTTTTAATGGATGCATTATGTGGATGTAGCCTAACTTATGTGTCAGTTCCTAATGATAGACAGAGTATTTCCAGTTTTATTCCATTACAAACAAAGCCACAATGAACAAATTTCTACATATATTGTTACTCAAAAGTCCGATTATTTCTTTGAGATAAATTTCAAGATATAAAATGTCTGTTCCCAAGTGTTTGCACATTTCACATTTTGATACATATGGGCCAAATGTCCTTGAAAAAGTTTTTTGTTTTATTTCGTTTTGCTTTACCGAAAGGCTGAAGAATAGAATGTTTAGTTTATGTTCAATGCATTACATCCTCATATTTAATGCATAAAGGCAAAGCTTCAGGTGTTAAAAAAGATTTCTGGGTCTAATTAATAATAGCAAATTGTACTTTCTCTGTTTTTAATTAGTGTTCTTACCCACTTTTGATATCCCATTTTCATATTTGGTGTGCTGCAACATGTGATAGACTATCCTGCTTCGAGTAGCATTGCTGAAGAAGGTGTCCTTATTGTTTATTATGAAGCTGTTAAGAGAAGGGGATTGGTTTTAATATTCAAAGCAGAGCACAGAACCAGCAACAGTTACAAGTTCCTGGGTAGTCATCCATCTGTTTTCTCCATTAAAACAAGTGCATGGAAGTACAGTAAATCAGAAGAGAAACCATCCTCCTTAAAAGAAAAAAACATCAATTGGCGGAGAAAAAATACACATAAATAATACAGGACATTATCAAATATTTATTTTGATATCTTTCAGTTTATAAGGAAGCCTAGACATCCTCACATTTCCTGTTTAGCATGTAACAAGGAGAGAATAGATAGTTCATTGGCTCCCATAAATTTTGTACTACTTTAAGCAATGTGGTTTCAAATAGAACACATTAAAAATTTGATGTCATTCCCCATATCACATTTTCCAAGCTGGCTTGTCTTGTTTTCAGAACTTTAGCAATGAGCAATAGTTCTCCCTTCCCCTTCATGCCCTTGACTGTCCCCATGTAGGAAGGGTTGTAAGGAGGAACCATGTGGGAGCCAGTGATGTACAGAGCACAAGGGTGATCCTCAGAGGAAAGAAGACTGTGTTCTAGCATTTGCTTGATGATATATTGGGAGCATCTAAAGAATGGAAGCGTCCCAGGCCTTACTCAACTTCTGCTAGTTCCTGTTTCCAGCCGCCTTACCTCTGAAGGATAAACCACCACTTTCTCAGGCACTTAGTCCTGAAGGATTAGGTCTTCTGTGATTCTTGATTTCTCTTCACCATCCATATTCGAACAGTTGCCAAACTCAGTAACTTTTCTAACTGAACTGCCTCTCTCCAGCTTGGTACTACCCATCTCGTTCTGGGTCTCACTGCCTCTTGCCTAGACTATGAGAAGAACATGCTCCTAACTGGCATCCAGTTTCGCTCCTGACTTGTACAGCATGCCTCTGAGCCTTGGAACGCTCCTCTTTTAACGTGTCAGCAGCTCTCTGTTACGTGCATAATTAAACGTGTTGTTTTCCCCCCAGGCTCTCTATTCTTGCATTTCAACCTCTCCCTCAGCCTTATTTCTTACAGCTCTGGCTTCTTGTATCTAATAGTCTGTCAACTTGTAGGATTTATCACACCTACACTTTTCCTCAAGATTCTACTGTTTTCTGATAGCTGTTCCCGCACCTCTCCCCACCTCCCTCCACACTTTTACCTGCTGAAAAGGACTATCTTCTTCAAAAAGGCTTCCTGGATTCTCTCCTCTGCATGTAGCTTCTCCCTCGATTATAAAACTGTGTATTTTATTTGTGTCTTTCCTAACACATTGATTTTACTCTGCCATGTTTTATGGCAATCTGTATACGTGCCCATTTTACTAGACTCTGAGTTCCTCCAGCATTCTGATATTGTGCTTTTGACTTTTGTACTGGATGCACCAAGTTAAGAGCTATTCATTATAAGTCCTAACAGTCCTGTTGTACTAAGTATCAGAACGAATGTTCACTCAATTCTTTCACCATCAGATTTATTCGGAATTCCCCAAACAAATATTTGTGTAGCAGATAAGTTCCTTTTTTCATGGAGTTACATTATGGAAGGAGGAGACAGATGATATATAAGTAAACAAATAAATTACATAATTTCAGATAATTGCTGTGAAGAAAAATGAAACAGCATAACAGCATAGAGAATGACTGGGACAATGGGACTATAGATAACATTTTCAAAGGTCTCTCTGAGGTGGTGATGTTTGAGTGGGAGTTGAATGATAAGAGGGAATATGCCATGTGAAGATCTAGGGGAAGAGCACGCCAGGCAAAGAGAATAGCGAGAACAAAGACTGTGAGATGGAACTAAGCTTGAGCTTTTGATGGATAGAACTGAAGCCTGTGTCCCTAGAGTAAGTAAATGGTGGGAAAAGTTGTAGAGGAAAAGATGATAGTGTTGGGCAGGGACCACAACATATATGGCCACATGGTAGACGATAAGAAATTTGAATTTTATTATAAGTGCAAATGGGAGGCCACTGGGGGGTTTTAAGCAAGACAGTTGCATGATCTGATTCATATTTTTCAAAGATCACTCTAGTTTCTTGGGTTCAAAATAAAGAGCAGGGGCCGGCCGCATGGCCTAATGGTTAGGTTTGGCATGCTCTGCTTCAGCGGCCCGGGTTTGCGGGTTCGGGTTCCAGTGCAGACACACACCACTCATCAGCCATGCTGTGGTGGCGACCTACATATAAAATAGAGCAAGATTGGCACAGATCTTGCTCAGGGCTAATCTTCCTCAGCAAAAAAAAGTAAAATAAAATAAAGAGCAGAATGTTTTTTATTTGGTGTATCACAGAACCTGAAAAAGTTCAGCAAAAAGCTAAAGAAGCTTCCAAGAAACTGTAACCTCTCTCTAAATCCTGAAATCATTTGGATTTCCACTCCTTCCTCCATTTCCTGTAGCTGGAATTAGCAAGGTTGCTTCTAGGGCCACCTCTAAGAGTAAATAATGAAATAAAACAAATATTTGGAAGGAGAAGTTTTCCCGTTGATGATTGGCTCTGTTACATGATTGATGGTCTGGGATTCTGTTTCATCCTGCCTCTCAACTTCCCATGTCCCAGAATATAGGTCAATCTAGAATAGTGTACAGTAAAGTAGACCCTATAGCTATAGCCATATAGTACACTGTGCATTTCTCTATCTTTATGTTTACCCTATTTTATTTATTAATTTACATTTTTGTCTGCCCCACTAGACTGGGAGTACCATGAAGGCAAGGACTGTGTCATATCCTCAATCCGTATCATGTAGAAACTCAATAAATGCTAGTTGAATAACAAAGGAATAGAGATATGTTGGTACGTAGATAAATAGATAGTCATGCAACAAATCCTGAAAAAAATTTCTTATTCATCATAGTTTAATAAAATTAAACTAAAATGAATTAAACTAATAAGTTCATATTAATTAAATGCAATTTTAAATATAATAATTTATTAATTAGAACAATCCATTAGTCAAACATGGTATTTAATAGCAATTCTATTATTATTATTATCATCATTATTGTTACTTGAAGTGAGTTACTACCATAGGAATCATTTTGAAAGACTTAGGAGCTAGACCATCAGCTCATGCGTTTACAATTAATTATTCATTTCTTGAATGTCTCTAAATCATAGTTGATAAAGAATTAATAAGGTTCACTGAGTGTTGTTCATAAATTAGGTGTACGTTTTAATACAGTGATACATTCTGACTTATTTGGAAAATGATGAAATTGGTTCCAGGTATTTTTATTCTATCAACAACTCTCAGATAATGCAAGGTGCCAAGGCAGGTGGTGGGAGAGAAGAGAAGGGAACTCACTGGTGAATCCGTGCACGGCTGAAGGGGCCAGTATAGCAGTCTGAGTCCTCCAGGTCTGGAAAAGCTGACTTGTCGAGAACCATTGGGTTTTGGGACATCCATTTTTTGATTCTTCTAAAATAACTTTGCACCCTGGAACAAAGTTACATTTCAGAACTAGATTAGGTTGCATTCCAGAGCTGTGTCTACCTTCCACAACCGTTCTGAAAAAGTTTCAAAAAGACATCCACACACGCACACTCACATCCACACACATGCATTCTCCCTGTTCCCACACAAAAGAAAGTAATTCCAAAACAAAGCAAATCTTGAGTTTGTTTAAACTATTTCAGAGTAATTAGGTTATCTTCATGAGAAAAATCTTGTGGAAAATATTAAAGAATCATCATACATAAAGATGGTGGTAGGAAAGAACATAAAAACAATAGAAGCAGCATGACATATTTATTAAACTTGTGTGTGTGTGTATGTATGTACGTATATGTCTATATCTATGCAGCTATAGATCACTCCCTGATTCTTTAAAAAACCTGCAGCAATGTGGCTCTATAAAAGTGGAGACTGAAAAGAAATACATGGCTACGACACACTCATTCAGCAAGGCTGGGAGCCCCCAGTGTGATGGAAACAGCAAGGGTGTGAGAGTCAAGCAAAATTGGGTTCAAAGGCAGCTGGGCATCATAGCAGCTGTGTGAACCTGTACAAGTTACTTAACTTCTTGCCTCAGTTTCCTCACTCATGAAATAAAGGTAATAATACTGACCTTGCTGGAGAGTTGTGAGTTGGTGTTTTACTTTAAACCTGATCACTAACAACAAGAAAAGTTGAGGCAAAAAGCCTTTGCAAGACAAAGGCTCTGTATTTTTGTACAAAAGCTTTGCCTATTTTTAAGACTTTAATGGGCATGTATATCATCTGAAGATCTTGTTAAAATGCAGATGCTAATTCCGTGGACCTGGTGGGGCATCAGATTCTGCATTTCTGACCAGCTCCTCGGGGATGCTCAAGCTGCCACCTACCAATGGCACCTCGAGGAGTGGATTTAGCATAGACCCCAGTCTATAACATTAAGACACTGTCTTAGGAAATCTCACATCAGGACACTGTGGCCTCAGCTTTAGATCACAGTCATAACCCATTTCTACTGTGGTGTATATACTGATTGGAATCATATCTATTTTATGAAGAAAAAAAGAAAGCAAAAGAAAGAGATATTGACTCCAGAGATTGAATCTGAAAATCTAAATTCTGAGCTACTCTAACAACAGCTGTGTTTACTGAAAAAATGTGCAATATTTACATAATGTTCATGAGGTTTCATCTCCGGCAATTTTTGGCTTCTGTAATAGTAAATCAAAGTAGCAGGATAGAATATTTTCCTAGACAAGTACAATGTATCTTAATATTTGTTTGGCCAACTCTGCTTAAACTTTAGTGCAGCAATGTGCAGGCAGCTAATACTGTATCTTAGGAATTATTTTATGCAAGTCTATTATGGTAAAATTACCATATATAATTTGAAATAAGAATCAAGTCTTGATGTAAAGTTTAGCATGTGAAAGAATCTGGGCCTTTCCTTTGCCAAGTAAGGTTATTATTTAGATGCCAAGTAATTTTTGGTTTTGGAGGAACCAAAGCATTTCTTTCTAGTCTAAAATAATAAATCAACAGTATCTGAGGTGTGCATTTTACTTCTTCTCATTACAGAGAAAGCGTCTGAAATCACAAAATATCTCCATATCCCAGTGACTAGTGCACAGACATGTAGAAAACACTGAATATAGCAATTACTCCAGCTTTTCAAACTTAGCATAGTGAAGAAAACAATGGGTAGGAGTTGGAAGATGAGTATTCTAGTACTGAATTTGCCAGTCATTGAAATTGAGCCAAACATTTCCAATCTTCGAGCTTCAGGTTTCTCATCTCCAACGAGAGGAAGTAATTCCATCTGTCCGACATCATTAGGTGGCTAGAAGGCTCAAATAGAAGGAGGCATTCTGAATGAACTTAGAAACTGCTGTTGAGTCACAGCACCCAAGGCCCTAGTATTTCTGACATAATTACGAACATACTAGAAATGAATGGGAATTAAAAAAAAATCTTAATGAAATAAAAGGACTTTCAGACCATCACTGATCTTTTTACAGAAAACAAACAATGTTATCAGTTTAGGCTTTTCGAACATACTTTCCACGGAGAAGATGGAGAAGCAAATGATGTCTGATAGTGACATGTGGTCAGGCCTGGATTTGAATGACAGGATGCAAAGTTCTAGTTTATTACTTAATTTCTTTATTCTCATTCATTTTTCTCATCTCTCAAATGAAGTGCTATTTTGAAAATTAAAGAGGTGATGTCTGATACCACAGTGCCCAGCACACAGCAAGCTCTCAATGAATGTTTATGATCATAAGGAGGAAAAGGAGAACTACCACTGCTGCTACAGCCATCTCTCCCACCACCAAGCCACCAGCGTAACTGAACGCAGTACCTACACTCTACCAAATGTTTATCACGTTGGCCATCTTGCAGGCTCAAGATTTCATGGCATAACGTGAAGATGACTTCTAACAGAGCTTTAAGTTCTTTTGCTAAAATCAGTAGAAAGCAGGGAATTCTATGGAAATTGACAAGACATCTGGATTAAAGGGTCAAAAGAACTTGGTCAGAGCACAAACTCTACCAAATCAGCTGTGAAAGCCGGGGGATGAGGTGTGGGGTGGTGGGGAGGGGTGATAACGGATTCATTTGTTTTCCCTGATCAGGTTGATAAGAAATAGCAGCAATAATAAAACTATAGTCATTTCCTGTCAACCTGCCTGGAGAAATGATGATCTTCGAAAGCTGGATGATTGCCTGTACATTATTCATCCCCCAGTGTTTACTGGTCAAAACACCCAGGCACAAAACCTCTTTCCCACTTCAAGAAAGGCAAAGCCAAGTGAAATCTAAGTGCACATATTTGACTTTTGTTTCCCTCTTTGATTGTCTACAAATTGGGTTTTATAATTTTTTAACAGTGATGACGATACACACACCCGGTGTTTAAATTTTCTTCTCCAAAGGTAAAGTTAAAAAAAATCAAAACCAGTCATTTCCTTAATTAAGAGAGTCTAAACTCAGGCAACTAACACGACTTCCTTTTTTTCAGTTTAATATGTCATATAATCTTATAAATGCCTTTCCTATTTATTCACTACCCTCCCCATATGCATCTGCAAAGTCAAGGAACAAAGAGAATTATTTGTAATAAGTACATTGTAAAGCGGTAGGCTATTGTAATGTTTAGGATACCTTAATAATCATTTGGAATAACTGATAACTGAATTTTCATTAATGAAATTAAACAGAAAATAATAAACACAAAATATAATGAAACATGACACATAATAAAGTGTTCATTTTTCCAGTTTAAAGTTTCACCAAGATAGAAAAAAAGAACATTTTTTACACTACTAAAAGTGTTTCTTTAGGATTTATCAGGCATTCTAAACATAAGTTTACTCTAAAACTAAATTATGACAATATTACAAAAATAGACATTTGTTACTATTTTAACATGCAGGATTTTATCCTTATGCAAGTCTCTGAAAGAAACAAGCCTGTTTATCAGAAAACCCACTCATTATACAGTAGCAAAATCTTACTAATTCTATAGAGCACAAGGAAGCAAACCCAAAGACATTTTATCAACAGCATTATCCAGCATTAAGCAGGCAAATGCAGAGGAAAACAAGAAAAACCTGCAGTTGTAAATTTATATATTAGTATATTCCAATGACTTTGACTTTGTTATGTAAAAATAACTTTGGAAATTTACTACATAGACCAGGACCAAATAGGCACAGGGAAATGATGATAGCTTATTCTAATCTGAGCATGTTAACTTTACAAACAGAACAATCTGACCTGGCTGAGGAGCATCATTTAATAATTTTTTTTTAAAGAGCCATTTGAATACTAATTCCTTTAATATTCATTCTAGTATTTTCCCCCTATGATTTACTTTTCTGTCACCCATTCCTACCACACCTAAATTTAATGTTTAAGAGAGATCAATAGTCTCTATTCTAAAATTCAATTTTTTCCTACCTAAAGTCCTAAATTATATCCAGCCATTTTCTTTGCTAAAGGAATTAGATTTATTGAATCCTTTCCTAAAATCATCTGATATTTACACTAAATGATTCTTCTAGTTTTTGTGTCATTCTGACTTGTAATACCCTGTCAACTATTCAATAGGGCATACTCTACCACATTCACATTTTGTTTCTGTTACTTGATTCTTTTGCAATGAGCAGAAAAACAGCCATGTGTAAGAAACCCTTTGTTTTTAGCGTTCATTAAACGGAAGCTCATTTCCTCCATGAAACAGGGCCAAGGGGATTGGGGTGGGAGAGTTTCTTCTGTCTCAAGGTTGTGGTTTGATTAATTCCTTTGTCATAGTTACTGTTATCACACTACGTAAAGAGAAGTTATTTTGAGATGAAGCTCTTGAAAAGAAGTTTGTTTTCAATACTAGAATAAAAGAAGCAGCTTCAGTTGGTAAAATCAGAACAAGTCTGTGATTCAAAAGATGCTGCACGGCCTCGGTAAACCACTTCATCACTCCAGATGCTAGTCCTTCCTTTACCACTTCTGTCAAATACAAGATTTGGATTGAATGAACTAGAAGGTCTCTGCTGGGTCATCATTTACCTTGATCCTGGTTTTATAACTATTTTTAAAGTTAAAATCTCCTAAAATGCTAACTTGCAATTAAAATCCTCCTTCCACAACATTATATCAAGGGAGGATTGCAGGAATTGCAATGGTAAATAGAAAAAAGAGATTATCTGAATTCAAACATTGTTAAATTTGCCATAAGTCATTTTGGAAATCTTTTGAACAAATCAATAAAATTGTTCTTCCTGAAATTTACAACTGCTGATATGGGTAGTCAAACGTCTTCTTTTAATTTTTTCCCCAAATGACAAATTGGTTGTAAACAAATTACGCATCACCCACCAACCTGCCCATTGATTTGCTCCTCCGGTCAGTGTAATAAGACTTTTTCCTGAAAAATAATAGAAATCAGCTGAGGAAAGTGACATGAAAATAGTGAAATCAGTGAGTGACAACATTCAATCATATTGAGCATTTTAATACTCCAACTTCCATATGCTTAAGAAAGACATGAACTACCCCAACAATATACCTGTGTACCTTTAATCCATGAAGTCAATAATAAACTGAAATTCTCCTCAGTTCTTCTGAATAAATGAACCTGCAGGACCAAATCATTTCCTACCCATAATCCTCCATCCTGTAATTTATTAACTCCATATTGTTCATGTACAGAGCTTTCTTTATTTTTCCCTTAATTTTTCATTGGAAAGATTCTGCTATTTTATACCTTGCATCAAGGCAGCATTTATCTAGCTGCCTACCTACCTACCTATTACAATAACCACTCAAAATTATAAGTAAATAATTATCTCCATCACTGTTTCCAACCAGTGTTTCACATTGTCAAGCAGCCACATGCGGAGATGCCCGCCGGGCCAAGAGAGGAGGGCAGTCACATGGGTGGGACCCTGCGTCCCTTGCTCTTTGTCAAGCAGAGCCCCTCCACTTTATCTAGTCTATATATTGGGTTCCCTGTATGTTTTTATGCTATTTTATTTTTGAATGAAGTATCCTTTGCATAAAAAAGTTATCTAAGTTTAATCCCAATTGGGATAAAAAGATTGCTCTTCATGTGTTAAAAGTATTCCCCCTAAGTTTACTATGTTTAAAATATTTGTGGGAGAAGGAGCTTGAGGAAAGAGGGGAGGTTGACTCCATCTAGGAACTCAGCCTGAGAAGCCACAGGATGACCAAATCATCTTAAAACACATTTGACCCTTTTAACGTGACAGGGGTTAGAATAAATAGGCATCGTCTTTGAATCAAAAGAAACACAACGAAAGTGGTACTTCATATTTCTGGAATGTTGAATATACAGGCTGAGTCCTTCCTGATAGGATAAAAACCAGAAAATGTGGACTATTTTAATTCTCTGAAATTTTCTTGGTTAGTTCTGAAATATCAAGTCCAATATGTAGGCCATATTTACTTTGGAAGAATAATCAAGAAAAGAAATAGCTAGAAAATTTAGGTATATAAAATTCTACACATTTGTTCAAGCAGAAAATTTAGATAAAATGCTCGAGATTCATGTTTATACAGTAAGTTAGCAGAAAACTTTTGCAGGAATGGTTATAACTAATATTTTTTTCTGAATAAATTTTCAGCTTTTCTTTGTGAAATATAACATGTAGGTTTCAACCCTGAATAAAAAGATGGAATAGCCAAGAATGAGTAAATTTTTTTATGCATAAATCTTTTAAAAAATCTTGTGCTAAAGAGATATGTATTTTTCCTATTTAACTTCTTTATTATTCTTATATATTTTAATTTTAAGACAGTATATGTGTTTTTAAATGCAGTAACAGTTGACAATTGGAAATTGAATTGGTCATCATGAAAACACTTTGCCACTTAGTTTATGCTTGAATAGCATTCTCTTTTTATGAGCTGACTGCTATCCCAAATTTCAGGTGTTCCTTATAAATAAATGAGAAGTGAGTTACTGAGCTAGTTAATGCTACATCTATTATTTAAATTGAACTGGAAAGATGTTCTAAAAGAACTCTGTGTTCCAGCATTTCTCAAACTGTTTTCCCCAAGAACACTTTCATATTATGATAAAAGAAAAATTCCATCATCATATGGAAGTTAGGGAAAAGCTGTTCTGTATAACTGCCTCTTGAAATTTATAAGAATTGTGAGAGTTATTAAAATATTAAAATCTCCAAGACAATATTTCTTTGCTATCTGTAACAGAGTCATTTGGGATGCTTGTTAAAAATGCATATACCCAATCCTATCCCAGACCTAATATGCCAGAATCCCTGGGTGTAGGTTCCAGGAAGCTTCATGTTTACTAAATTTCCCAGGTGACTCTGATGCACTCTAAAGACTGAGAACCACTTTTCTAAAAATTCCTACAGTAAATAAACTTATGTTTAACTCAGAAATTCAGAAACATATTTGGTCACAGGATATTTTTCTCTTAAGATTCTCTGACACTAGTATTACTCTGACACACTTTGGAAAAGAGTGTATACTTTATAATATTTATAGAATTCCAATGGCATTTTCCAAAAGTTTCAGTAGTGTGTCCACCATGGGTGACCCTGCTGGTATTTGAAATACCAGTGGCATAGTTTTCAGCATCACAACACACAGCTGCTACAGTATGACAACCAACAGGTGGGTGGTGTCATGAACTCGGGCCAGAGCAGTGAGGGCCCCGAATCTTAACCATGAGACCACCAGGGCTGGCTAAATGCAATCTTACCAGGAAATAAAACATGAATATCATTTATAAAGAGCAAAACCTCCTTCTTCAAAACCTCCCCTGGGATGGAAGGACAATATGGCACACAGCTTAGAGACCTAAGATCTAATTTATACAAACTGAGGACACTCACAGTCTTGCAAGGGGATTGTTTTTAATGAACTTCTAAGGAAAAGAAACAAAGGAATTAAATTTGGTACAGATTTTTTTAAAAAATGAGAATATATGAGAATACTGATTATTCTTCAATTAGAATTCCTCAAAACTTATCTGAAAAGGCAAGAGCTAGGAAAATGAGAGAAAGGAGACCAATGTGCTCTAACAGACTTTCAATTTTTAAAGTTAGTAAAATCCATCTGAGATGGTGGAAAGGGCTATACGAAAAGCATGACACCAAAATTGTGTTGCCATGGTCTTTATAAGACTTTTTCCCCATAGACTACAACAGAAGGAGCATACTTTGAATGTATGTTGATGAAGAAAGAAAAACTATCTTTGAAATTATAAATGTCAAATACCTGGGGTAAAGCAAACATGTTAACTGACATTTACTTTTTCTTTGAATGAAAGTATAACTGCAAATTAGTAATAAGTGCCTTTGGCAGGATCTAACAGTCAAATGATGCCAAATTCCCCCTTGGATAGCAAAAAAGGAAGCAATCTTCTGGACTCCTGGCAAACATCTGTTTTGTATAACATCCAGAGGAGGTAGGTGGAAGACATGCTCACTTTCTGATGAGATGTTTTAACACAACGTTCACTCCACCTGAACTGAACCTGAATACTGAAACCCACTGCAATGGCATGCTTTGTGATAGCCTCCAAGGGTTTCCTCCCTTTAGATCTACAAGGAAATTAGTTTGTGCATAAATTCAACTATAACTTTTCTTAGAAACAATGGTGAAATGACAGGAATAGAGGCAGGATGAAGGCATGCAAAATCGGTCAGGCTAATTTGGAAATTCTTTAGCAATTTCAATCTGATATCAGAAAGTTGGTCATTGTCTTGGGTGTTGCACTTCTTTTGCATCCTTGTTTACATCCTGCAGTCAAATTAGAACTTGTTAAAAATAAATAATTTCATAAGGATGTAAACAAATAAAATAATAGGGAGCCACAATTCCACTCAGAAGCAATCATTTTTAGCATATTATATTTTCTTCCAATTTTATTTCTATGCATTTTACATTGTTGACGTCACATCGCATGAATAAATACATATCCTATATACATTTTATTTAAATTTTATTATTTATTATTTACCTAGATAATTAAGAAATCCTTGTACCCATTCATTTTATAAATGAATTACATTCTATTGCAGGGTATAGTCTAATTTACTTAAATCTTCTACTATTGAACATAGAAGATATTTCAATTTTCCACAATTATAAATAATATCTCAAGGAATGTTTCTACACATTTTTCAATTATCTTATTAAGATAAAAAGTGGAGGCTATGAAAATTTTTAGTGCTCACAGAAAATATTTTCAAATTGAGTTTCAGAATATTTTATGAAGTTTGACTCCCACCATCAATAAAGGTGATTATTTACCATATCTGTGCTAGGCTTGAAGATTACTACTTGAAATTCTTTGCTAATTTCATAGTTTAAAATTTATTCCTTGTTTTAATTCTGCATGATTTTGTGTATCATGAATATGTACAGACCAAGAAGAAGAAATCAGACAGAGCACATGGCAAGTACTCTCCCATTATCAGCCTGTCATAAGTCCCAGGTAAGTAGTTCAAAAGACTTTTTAGAAGGAGACATAGAGTTAACAGGAAAAACTTCAGAAGTCAAGAAATGTAGGGTAGCACAAGGGTATACTTACCTAGTTGTGCTCTCAGGATCAGTTCAATATAATGACCCGAATTGAAAGCAGTCCTCTGCAGACTTCAAACTATCTCATCATAACACAATATTGCATAGGCACTGATTTGTTTCTTTCAAGGACCAAGTTTCATAGACATGTACAAACTTTAGTTTCTCTTAGTAACTTATTTATCATTTGCATAAGGTGCTGAAGAACTAGAAAGACTTCTTTCCTTTATATCTCCTTTTGCTTTTATTTTATTGTCATTACTTTTTGCCAAGCTCTTTGAGGTATTGTTTGCTTATCTCCTAAATATCATCTGTATAGAGAACTTTTAAACCTTTAGCCAAGCAGGAACGTGAGCCAATTTAGGCATATAATTCTAATATTGCCAGTAAGCTTTCTCAGTAGTTGACAAGGCTCAATCAAGTTCTGTTTGTGGGCAATGACTGTGGTTGCATCTTTCAAAGCCTGAGGTGTTTCAAATAACTAAAAAGATGGGATCAATATCTCATATTTTATCTTGCATACTGTAAAGGCTTGTCATGAGATATGAGCATGTCAGCACTCTTACCAAAGTTGGCCTCTTCCATGCTACTAGGTCTGAGACATTTCTCCACATTTTTGAACTGCGCTCTTACTGTTCATTTATATTCATTATCTAGAGGCTCATTTACTTGGTATCCTGTTACTTTGAAACTTTTTAAACCTTCTTAGCAGCTGATGAAGCATATTGAGTTCCAAATAAGTGTAAATGTTCATATTTTTGCACATAGTAGGAAAACTGTTGAATTTTACTTTAAGAAGTGATGGAAGAAAGTGATACATTCTGCAAATAACACAAGATACACAATAGAGGGAAACTGATGTCTATTCAATCTTTGCTTGCCTATAGGAAGGAATGAAACGTCTTTGAACTGAGCTGGCCTCTCATTACCATTTATCCTTTGGTACTGAGGACAGAGCTAAAAACCATCCTGGTTGAATTGCACCTGAGGAATAATTCTTGCTAACCACCGTACAGAGAAGAACACCTTATTTGTATCCATAAGGATGTTACACACTTACATTTCCTGACTTCCACTAAAACAATGGGATTTCTATCTACCCATATGAAATAGGAAATGAGATTGCTCTTGGGGATTATAAATTAAAATTTGAAAACGAATGGTTTTCCATCCCTGTAGGCAAGTCACCTAGAAATGACATAAAATGTCCAGGGAACCAGAAAATTTACCATATTAGACAAAAAAATTATAAGGAAAAAAACTGTTCAAAAAGCCTTACCTTTGGAAGAAAAAGTATTTCCTCTCTAGAAAGGGTTACATTTATTGCTCTAAGGTTTTGCAAAAACCAGACTTATCTTAATATACATTGAGATAGAATGAAATAAAATTTGAAAGTACCTGAAGGGCATCCTGATACTTAGCCTCTCTGCATACTTGCACAGTGTGTCCCATGGAATGTGAATTTTAATAAACATGATATCAGGGTTTGCAACAGCTGGCTGCAAAGGATAGCAAGACAGGTACCATTATTTAGAATCAGAGCTGAGGATATCATGCCACAATTTGATTTGAGAGGACAGAACACTGTCCCCTTGGCTACCCATGAATCATTGTCACTCATTTAAAAGGAATTTATATGAATAAAAAATTCTTAATACAGGAAAATCTTAATAAAAATGTAATAATGCCATTGTATATAGGAAATAATCATCTATATGAGTTAGTGCATTTTCTTATATGGATCGTTATCAAGATGAGAATCCCTAATCAGAATGATCATGAGCCAATTAGGAATCTGAAGTTATTCTCGATGAACACTTCATTATAATCCTCTCATTCCTGCTCAGAAGGGGTAGAAAACACTTACACTTTCCACCAGTCATTCATTAATTCATTCATTTACTCTTTTACCACAATTTACTGAAAAATTACTACTTGCTAGGTGCTATGAAAATCCTGGGAAAAAATGGAGTATAAAGCATACAAGTCCGTGACCTTACAGAGCTGTCAAATTTGTACACTTACTCTAACCTTTTAGCCCACTTTTACTTGTATCAGGAGATCATAAGAAATTAAGTGTCTTTGATGGACAAGAGGTTTTTTAGCAGAGTCAAGTGTGCATCAGAATTATCTACAGAGCTTTTTACAAAATTGTGTATCATGGTCTAAGTCTTAAGAATTCTCATAATTGGATTCCATAGTTCTGAATATTTTGCTTATATCACTAGTGAGAGAATCAGATGTCTTTCTGAACCAGATAATCTTCAAGATTCTTAGATTTGGTCCAGTAGTCTAAAATAAGTAACTAACTAAATAATTGACTACTTTGGCATTACATATCACTCATGTTCATATTCTACTTTTTTACAAGAAGTCTAGACAGTTATTTTCTGAAGATCCTACAATGTCTGAGGCCCACAGGACACAGAACAAGTTTTGGCCATTCTAGCAATGAATTCCACAGAGCTCATCCTTCATGTGATTACAGGAGCTGAACATTTGTGAAAAAGAACTGCTATTTGCTTCCATTTGGACACATGTGCCAGGTTAGACACAGCTGGACTCTGTTTGGTTAATGCTGTTCATTTAAAGTTCAACTAGATGGAACTTGTCAAGAAACATGTCAACATCAAAAGCTCAAAAGTATGGAAGAAATTTATCAGTTTAGTTTAAAATCATATGTTTCAAAATTAAAATGCACAATTTTTATATTCATATATTCATATTTTGAAAATCACCATGGAAAAAATAGCAAAAGGTGCTTTCACATCAGTACAATTTCCAAAGGACTTTCCTACTTTGAATATATTTAAGTTAAAGGTAAAGAATGATGGAAATAAAAATTGACAATGACAGAACACAGAGTATATCTTAACTATCTACAGGCCTTTGGATTCAGACCAAGGTTACACACATTAGCTATGCTTGAGGAAATGATGTGTATAATTTTTTTAAATGAGCATTAATTCATTTAAACAATTATTTGTTAAAAAGTATATTTTTCACACAGCTGGAAATCTGTCACTGATGAAGGAAAAGGAGAACAATTATGATATTGACATCTCCAGGTTCTTTTTAGTGACTGTCCCAGACTTGGTTGAAAGCTTTCAGTGCAGGAGAGATAGAGATAAGAAAACCTTTTTAAAACATGAAGAAGCATAGGCATTCACCTATTTAAATGACTCCAGCATCTGAGTCATGGGAAAGAAGCATTTCATGTTTCATTACAGACACACATTGCTTAACGACTGGGATAGCTCTGAGAAATGTATCATTAGGTGATTTCGTCATCGTGTGAACATCATAGAGAGTACTTACACAAACCTAGATGGTATAGCCTACTACACCTAATGGTACTAATGGTACCTAATCTTATAGGACTACTGTTGTATATGTGGTCTGTCATTGACTGAAACGTTGTTATGCAGTGCATGCCTAATTTTTCCTGCTTTATTCATACAGAAGTTCTTATACTCAAAATGATAACAAAGATTCTTCTTTTGAAATTATGGCATTGGCTACCAGTGTTACACCAACTTGCCTTCTACTTGCCCAGCACAATTTAAATTGCATCAATCCCAACTGCCTACTTAGAAGAAATCACATGGCATGGTAGAATGAACACGGTATTTGAAGTCACAGAAACTTAAGTGCAAATTCGATCTCTACCATTTGCTAGCTCTATGATCTTGGGAAAACTACCTAACATCTCTGATCCTCAGTTTGCTCTCCTAACAAATGGAGAGGATGATCTTCACTCACAGAGTTGTTGTGATGTTATGAGATACTGGATATATAAAGTACCCAAGGATAGCAGGTTATCCAGAATTGTGACTTCTCAGTTGAAAGCATGCCTCTCGAATCAGACCCTAGCCAAAATAATGGAAAATTTCAAAGGTTCACTAGAATCTTTGTATTTTCTTTTTCTCAGTAAACAGCTTCCTGATTCATCTTTGCTGGAGCCTGTCCCATGATTTTGTAAGGCTTCTTTAACAGGACTTTGAGTTTTCTCAGTATAAAACCAGTAACAACCTACGATTTGCAGAAAACTCTGAAGTAGAGTGACTTGAATCAAATGATTGAAGAGTTAAATATTTTTTCTGGTAATATAAACTAGGTATAAATTATAATAAAACTTTATTCCTACAGACTGTAGTTTCTTTGGAAGATTTGTCTCTTTCCTCTGTATATATTTAAATTGTCCTATGCCTGAATGCTATTGTTTGTTCCTGGGGAGATGTGGGTTCTTTTTTAGAAGTTATTCAAAGGGAGAAAAAAAATAAGACCCTCAAGATTACAGAAAACATATCTAATGCTCACTTTCTCCAGAATCTGGAAGAGAGACCTCCATGAAAATGAATGAGTCTAGACTCAGACAAAATCAATCTATATGAGACTCACACATTCCACGTGTAGGATTATTTAAGGCTGAATAACCAAGCCCTTGAGAAATGCACTGATGTTTGATCATTGCATTACCTCCAGGGGTTCCATGCGAGTTTGAAAGTGGGGATCCCTATTGTGGACTAGGCAGATTCTGCAGCAAAAAATAGTTTGTCAGGAGATGAGCCCTATTCTGGTATGAATGGAGATCTCATTCTCCCTCAGAGCATCCCAGGTCCTGAAGTCGAGGCATGTTGGTCCAGAGTACAGTAGTTACATGAAGAAGGGGTGACTAATACACATATGACTATTGGGAGAGATCTGGGAAGGTTTAACCTCCACAGCAGGAGAACTTGGGTTTCACACCACCAGAGAGTTCCTGATTTGTTTTCCCTTGGAGTATGTACAGCCAGAATCTGATCACTCCCCATCTCTTCCACAGCTATCACCCTGGTCTAGGCCACCATTGTCTCTGGATTCCTATAGTGCTTTCTAACAAAGCCTTTGCCCACATAGTTGCCCCAATAGTCTACGCATTGCACAATAGCCAGAGCGATCCTTTCAAATGTAGCTCAGATCACATCATTTCTCAGAACCCCATTTCATTTAGAGTGAAAACCAAAGTTTTTTCAATGACCTACACAGCCTTTTATAATCTCACTCTCGGTATCTCCCTAACCTCCTCTCCTGCTCCTCTCCCTCTCACTCCCTCCGCTTCCATCACTTGCTACTACTTGCCTGCCCTCGCCCCATCCTCCTTCCCTTACTCTATTCTTTTTCCTATAGTACTTATTATCTTCTAATGAATGGCTCTATTTCTTTATGTAAGTGCCATGAGAGAAGGGATCTTTGTTTTGTTCATTCATGTATACCAAGCACCTAGTTCTATGCCAGGCACACAGTAGTCACTTATTAAGCATTTGTTGAATGGATGAATGAATGAATGAGTTAACTTATTTTGAGTACACATTCTATGTACCTTGTACCTAAGCAAGAGATGATGGGGACAAGAAAGGAAATAAACCAGAATTATTCTCAAAGAGGTGTTATGTCAGGATTCAAATTACCATCATGAATACCTGGCTTATCGACGATTATTAATTCATTCCTGTCAACCTCTAAGATATGAAATAATCTAATACACTTAAATAAAAGGGATGCTTTAGAAGGATGTTTCTGCTTCTCTACCATAAAGGAGTGAAACATTAAGCTAAGTGCACATACAACTAAAGCATTTCTAATTTTGCATGTCTTAACTTACTTAGTTAAATATATATAGGTCTTTCTCAAGAAGCATGAATTGTCTTCTTTTATGACTTCCTCAACCTAATTTATCTTTTGTTATACCTTTACTGAAAGCAAAACAAAACAAAAATGGTTTTATTTTCTTGCAGCTTCTGAGCAGGGGGTTGGTAAAGGGATGGTGCTGTCAGGGAGAAAGATGACCTTCACCCTTGGAATGAAAAGCTCCCAATCTGGCACTACTCTGTTTAGCTTCTGATGAAGGCGGGCTTTTCTGAGCGAACAAAACACCCTCTGCCTTCACACTTCACATTATTCTTTAATAATTCCATCCAAAATTCCCAAGAGGTAGCACATTCACTCTTGAGAGAAGAGGAAATTTAAAAATTGTGTTTTTACAATGTCACTCTGCAAGTTGGTGAAAGAGAGCTGAAAGAAAATAGAATGTGGTAGCTCATGGTATTAAGTCTAAGAAAAACACAAATTGCTGATACGATCTAGAAATCTACTCAGATAACAAAGCACCTATCCTGACAGTTACAGATCATCTACCTATTCAAATATGCATCATTATCTACTTATGAAGTGACCATGTAGAAACTGTCCACATCAACATGCAGCTCAATGAGGATGTGAGTCCTACTCTGTGCCAGGATCAGTGCTGAGCTTGGGTGAATGTAATTTTAAAAAATGGGGACTTGTTCCCTAAGGAATACTCCCATTTTCCAGCTAAGAAATCTGATACTTGCTGACATTTTCACCATTTCATTTCCCTAAAACTCCTGTCACAAGCCCTAAATATTTTCAATTTAATATTGATTAAAATTAAGTTGCAACCAAAGGCCAGAGCCTCCAATAGTAGAAACTTTGAGAG